TTCATATTTCATTTAATTTTTTATTTATGGTGGTATGCAATATAAGTAATAGCAACTGGATGTATAATTTCAAGTGAAGTGCAGCACATTAAGGTATTATTTATTTCAGGTACTTATATAGTGCTGTCAATTTACGCAGCGCTTTACATACAATATATATTGTACATTCACATCAGTCCCTAACCCTCAAGGGGTGTACAATCTAAGGTCCCTAACTCACATTCATACATACACATACTAGGGTCAATTTAGACAGGAGCCAATTAACCTACCAGCATGTCTTTGGAGTGTGGGAGGAAACCCATGAAAGCACAGGGAGAACATACAAACTCCAGGCAGGTGGTGCCATGGTTGGGATTCGAACCAACGACTCTAGTACTGCCAGGCCGAAATGCTAACCATTTAGACACTGTGCTGCCCCGGTATATATTATTGATTTAGCATAGCATAGTAGTATGAGTATGTGTTAGGTGCAGGCAATTGACAATTAGCACTTAGGTAGGTTTTATTACTCACATAGCAGCTCACAAGCTTTCACTTTTTAATGATTGCATGTTGTGTGTACTGTGGGAGAGCAGATATAGTGAATGCAGGGTCCTAGTTTAGTAACATTTTAATGGACATAATAAAATCAATAGTTGCACTCACAAACAACCGTGACATATAGAGGCTTGTCAGGTGGCTTGGAGGATAAGTCCAGAGTCAATTTATGCGTTATCCCAGATCCCTGCATTGGCCACTGGCCAGGGAAAGCATAGGCTAAAGTGGAAATTACACTGCTGGCAGAGATGGAGTCTGGAGTCCAAGAACTGAAAGCCTCCTGTTGTCACTGCTGTGTACCCCAAAATACCAGGGGCATCAATGCAATCCTGCTTCTTTATCAACCTGTTTACTTCCTACCTCCATGTGACTATGACACTCTGTGCTACTACAGCTGTAGTTATGCCATTGTCCATCAATGCAAGTTATGCAGAATGAACACTGATGAATAGAAGTGGTAATGGAATTTTAAAGGATATGTCAACCTATGGGAATATGTTACAAGTTCCACCCATTGTAAGGGTGGAACATGTAACATGTTCCCGCTCCTGGAGCCGCATCCCACTCTGCTGCATCTAGTGACAGCTAGCAGGGGATCTTTTTTAAAGTAATTCATTCACAGAATTCTGTGACTGGAAAACTACAAGTAGCCGATAGCATTTGTGGCTTTCGGCTTGTAGTTCTCAATGAACTACCACAGCACTGTGGAGCACTGTGGTAGTTCACTGATTCTTCCTGCCAGTGTGTATCTGCTTCCCTGTACCAGGTACGAGCAGATGGGTACACTGACAGGCCTGCAGGGGTCCTGCGGCACCCACGATCTGCTGTTTCAGGGTGCAATGCTTTGTAGGCTCCTAGTAAAAAAATAATAAATGCACATTTTTCTACCTGCAAAAAAGATCTGCATTTATTATTTTTTTATAAAGGTGAACTTATCCTTTAAGGGTAAATATTTACAACATTTAGGAATAGATTAAACCAAGACAGCACTTGTTAAAACAGAATTAAAACCATCTTTATTATTTTTGAATATGGAACAATAAATACAAATGTCATTATCTTCTGAATACAAAGTCATAAAAAAGGAGGATATATAAATATGGCAATCTATAAGTATAAAAAACAGTGGTTTTCACAAAATTATTCTCTATTAGTGAGCAACAACTCCAAGTCCATCAGCACCTCACAGAGGATTGGAAATACATGTGCTTACTCCAAAATTTTAAGGCATTATGTCTGTGTGCCACCAATGCATACACACAATTTGAGGTGTCAAGGCCACAAATAATGTGTGACTGGACGTGCTATTCAATGCACTGTAACTAGATTTACTTTAGCTAGTCTGCTGGGAGAATCCAGTTCAGGAACAGAAAATAAATACAAAATGGAACATATTTTAGGAAATGCAAAGTATAGTGACTATGTGCAAAGTGCCATAGTCTACAGATTTTCATGCATTGTTAGTCAAATTAGGCAAATTATGACATCTGATTGGTTTTTATTGGCACTTTGCTTCATATAAAGAAACCTAATGTTTCTATTATATTTAAATAATCTTTGTAGTCATTTTTTTTTTCAATTTGAGTATTGCATGTTAATCCTACTAATGCATTTCTGAAGGCACTGGTTTATTACATTTTAGCCCCCAAAAGACACCAGTGATGATGAGTAATAATCAAAATTAGGAGAACTAGACTAAAAATGAGTTGTGGTCAGTAGGTGACCATGGCTAACCTGGGAGCAGATCACAGCCTGGTCACAACCGGAGTTAAGCCAGCCAGTGTGGACAGGAGCTAAACTGAGAAATAATCCAGCTTTGTAATCTGGTGACATTGCTGCTACTTGAATTGTCATTTTCACTTTATTTTTGGAGTGAATACACAAGTTAAATGAAATGTACCTAAATTACCTTTTGTATCCAATCAAAGCACTTGAGCTACACCGCCAAGTGTTCAGCACAGCCAACATACATCTACACAAGGAAATAAGCGGTACAAAACATTGACACAAATGTAATTTAATTCTCAAACCTTCAGCTGTTTCAGTAGATATCTTGATATGTATTTTAAGATGTATACATAGAAATAATTTGATACAGGGAAACTATTTTCTGTGGTCACCACAATTGTGTTGTAGGATGGTGCACATCCATATTGTGATTACCATTTCCAAGACCTTTTTCTATGTATGAGATAGGAATAAGACCATGGTTACAGTAGTCACAGAAAATGTTTTACTCTTTTTGCAGTCACTGGTACACAACAGTTTGCCCTGCCCTAGTGGCAGTTTATTACAGACTGTAACATAAATGATCATGGCCCACTACTGTAAAGACACAGAGCAATACCACAGTCCAAATTGTTTTGGGCAGGGCAGAAAACACTACACTACATCAAGGCTTGCCTGGCCTGCTCATATATCCAAACATAAACAAAAAGGAATCCCTTTACAGGGGGTTTGATGGGAGAATTGTATTAATTAAAGCAGAGTTCCACCCAAAAGGGGAAGTTCCGCTTTAAAGATTGGTCCCCCGCTCCCCATTAGGGTTGGCACTTTTGGGGAGTGGGTACCCGAATTTGACAGGTACTCGCTCCCACTTCCGCTGTGACCGCCTAGGCAATTGGAAACGGAAGTTGTCCTCCTACCCTCCCTCCCTCAAGTCTTGTGGGACACGTGACAGGTCTCAGAAGACGACGGGGCCATTCAGGAAGTGCAGCGCTACTTGCGCATGATCAGTGGGCATCCGGCTGTGAAGCAGCAAGCTGTCACAGCCAGGTGCCCACGCTGAAGATGCCGGTGCCTGGAACACAGGACGGCCAGTGAAGTGGGCTGCAGCGCGGGCAATGTGGGATCGTGAGACAGGTGAATGGCTGTTTTTTTTTTCTGTAGCTGCTGTCTTCTATTTTTTTTACAGAGTAGGAGTGGAACTCCGCTTTAATGCCAGCCTCTTTATAACTGTATTATTAAAACTGTACAGAAAAATGTCCATTCACCTATAATTATTAACATAATCACCTACATTTATGAATCAAAGTACAGATTTCATCTGTCAGCAAACACTAATGTCCCAGCATTTGAAACAAATTGAAACAGATAAATAGATGGGACAAAATAAAAAGGTGTATAATAAATGCAATTTGCCTTAATATTTAGTCCATGAGTTATCCATTTAGGTAGAATAGGCAGCAAGATAAATTAAATATGTTTTCTATATTTGCAAGGAAAAAAAATAAAAATTTGGTTTCATTTTTGTACAGTATAAGCCCTGGTTCACTCTGCTGTGACTTCTCATGTGACTTGCTGTGACATGCGACACAAAAAGTCACATGACAAATCAAAACACATTCATTTCAATGGGTGCCACCTTAATTGCTGCAACAATTTGCAGTCGCAGCGACAAAAAAATTAGTTCCTGCACTACTTTTCTGCATCTTCCTGCCTGCAATGTTAAAATCACAAAGGTTGCAAGGAACTTGTTTCTTTATCTTTTCTTTGCAACTTTGGCTGCAACTTCAGAGGGTTTTGTAAGTTCAATAATATGTGTCACACTCTTTATTGTTATGATTGGCCAAAGTCGCATGAAAGTCGCATCAAATTGCAATGCAAAGTTGCACTGGAAGTCACATGGCTTTGGGGTCGCAACAGTGTGAACCGAGTCTAAGGCTGGGTTCACACCTATGCAGTTTGCGTTTGATCTGTTTCTGTAGTGCGGTTTGCGGTGCATTTTGTGTTTTTGCACTTGAGGTTTTTTACGTGTTTTTGCAAGGTTTTTGATGCATTTTGCATTTGTTTTTCTTTTCTTTTTTTCCTGTTGCTAGGCAGATTTAAAATGCAAAACGCATAAAAAACGCAGCAAAAACGCACTACATGCTTTTCTGCTGCATTTCCTTTGAAGTCTATAGAACCAAAAACGCAACTTTTTGTGTTTAAAAAAGTCCCTGACCCTTTCCAAAAAACGCACCGGGTGAAAACCTGTCCCAAAGGAAATCATGTTAAATGGACTGTAGTGCGTTTCTGCAAAACACTGCAGAAAACACTTAGGTGTGAAGCTAGGGTAAGAGAAAGAATTGTAGTGTGTTCTGATAAAGCAGTCAATCCCAAATATTTCTGTTTAACCAAAACACAATTACATTTTCATTCGGAAATTTATGGATAAATAATGTTCTTTTTGTTAAAAGCCTTTATGGCTACTGGGGTCTCCTCCATGTTTCCCACTATAGACATTTCAGTAATTGTTGGCTATGCTGCTGAAAGGGGAAGCTAAACATCAAATAAACTTTGAAAAACAGGAGAAAAGCATGAGACACATTGCATATTTAAGGTCATATTTGTGACGATGAATACATCTAAATTACACTTTTTACTGTGCAAGAAAAGAAAGTTTATGTGTTCACCAAGCTGATTAAAACACTTCTTACACACGTACAAGTTCATCTCGGAAGTATACATGTTCTTTAAATTTAGAGGTTTCCATGAATAATCTTGGGGCATGACTCGGGTGGGATGCAGTGAGATTCATGTTCTACCAGCCCAGCTGGACATTGACAGCCAGGAACACACGGCTTAAAACAGTGAGACTCCAGAACTCCAAGAGGAACATCTTTATTGAAGCATGTCTTGGGACAGGGAGGGCCACATTCATCGAACACGTAACCTCTGTCATGTGGACAGCCAACAGCTGTAAGAAAAAAACAGTAGATAATACATCACACTACAGTTATGATACATCGTCATCTAAAAAGCACAAGGAAGGTTACTTTGTGAAAAACATCAACCATTGGTCTCTGCCAAAAGGTATCTGGATCTTCCTCTTGCAGTTGTAGATATTTTTAGATGCTATATTAAAGAGCTGCATTCCATAATCGCACCAATAAAGTCAGTAATGCAGCAATAAACAGTCACAATTATGAACAGTTTAAAAACCCATGTTCATAGGCTTTTTCACTTTTTACAAGTCTATGGGAATTCGAAACCTGCTTGAAACATGTCAAAAGGAGGTCAATTGCAGGTCAAATGCTCCTATAAATGGATTCCAAATGGTCTCAGAAGCATATCAAACAGATGTAAAACTGATACCATGGACACATGCCCAGAGTCCATTAACACGGGCCTGAAAGCTCTGATCAATGGGTTGAAACTCCAAAGTGTTTGTCATGGAATTGTGGCACGGATACCTATGGCAGCTTGCTGATCCAAGTAAAAAATGGTTTGGAAATTGTTTAAAATAAAAATCCACATTATAAAATATATATATAATTGTACTCTAAACATACTGTAATTTCAATCTATTGAAATTATTTTTTCATATCACTATTTAGCCAGCCATTATTTTTTATAACTGTATGCGCTATTTTTATATTATTTGTGCTCTATTACAAAGTTGATTTCCAAAAAAAATCTAATTTTGAATATTTGCAACCATGGCAACACTCGAGTATGTTGCACACCATGTACAGAAAATACCATAGGGTTTGAAGTCAAATTAAAAACATTCATGCAGCAGAAAATTCAGCATTTTTGTTTTTAACTTCAACACAGACTAATCTCAAAATTAAAGACAGTGAAGACAGGATCTCCCAGTTAGCACATTTGCATACTTTTTTTTTTTTAAATCACTGTAGACCTGAAAATTACATAAAACCTCCAAAGCGCTATATATTTTCTGAAAGCAGATACCCTAGAGAATAAAATAGTGGTAGTTCCAATTTTTTATGTCACACAATAAGGTTTAGGAAACACAAAATTTCAGTAAAAAAAAACTAATGTTAATTGTATGGCACTCAAAGGAGCAAATTATCAGAAATTTTGGTAGAATATAAAAAAGATAAGGTTGTGCCGAGTAAATAGATACACAACATGTCAAACCTTAAAACTGCGTGTACCTGTGAAACAGTGATGAACTTCAGCACCCTATATTTTTCATAGGCAACAATTTAAAAGCCCCTCATCAGTTTAGAGCTAAAGTGGAACATTGGTGAGAACATTAATTCCTGCTAGATGACGTCAGGCTGGCACCTTTTACAGGTATAGCTACAGTATGTAACACATTAAAATAAGTGTCTATACTGTTTAAAATCCAGTAATACACTGTCTCACCTTGCTCAATCAGCTGACAGCCCTAAAGTGGAATTAAACCCTACTAACCTTTACATCCAAGGAAGCTGCTCCTGTTTGATCTGCAACTGCCATGGTGTTGCACATGAGATCAGTTATGACACCAGTCATTTGATGGTTTGACAGTTTGGTTGAGGACACAAGAAAATGTGACAGTTAGCAATCCTGGCATTCCAGAAATGTAACTGTTTTTTCAAACTTTTAAATGGATGGGTTAGTTCCACTTTATGATTTACTGCTCTTCAGGGGCTCTGGGCTTCAACAAAATGGCAGCCTCCAGCAAGAAGAAACAGGAACAATGCTGGAGGCAATTTGCAGCACACACTAATTTTGATAGCATAATTATTAATGTGGAATGTGTGTTCCTTCCTCGCTAAAGAACATTATATTTTATCAAGTTGTTATGGGTGAAGTTCTGCTTTAAGCATGACTAATGAGCCTAGAATTATTGCTCTCATCTCTATCATATACGTGGCGATATCTAACATCTGGCGATTGATGTTTTCATTCGTAAGCACCCCGACACATGCATTTACATTTGTATGTACATGTAAACTCCAGGTTTTCCTGCAATGATGAGAGTGAGCATTTAATGTTTTTCAACACTAGAAACTTTATATCCAGGTTTCTGAGGGGACCCAAATGGCTTACAGGTAAAACATTAAAATTAATGATCTTTTTACAAAGCTTCACAGATTTTTGATATCTACAGGGATCCTTTGACTACATAGGCTATTTTCTGGAAAAAGTGGACTTAGCTTTTAAGCTGGACACAGATGGATCTTTTTCTTCATTTAGCCAAGGAGCTGGATGGAAAAAAAACATGCAGATTCTTCTATCCACTCAAGCGATATGGATGGAAGAATCCCCCTGCCAGGACATTGTATTCTGAAAGAGGGACTCACCACTGCCAGAATACACTGACATAACTGGAGCAGTTGATCAAGAAAAGTTTTTCCACATACCCATTCAACAGAAGTCAATCTAACGATTGACTTCTGTTGAACAGGGATGGCCACACATGGATTCAATTGGTCCCTCCTGAACTGGCTGATTTTCGACCTGTCTACGGCCAGCTTTACAATGTTACATTGAATCAGCACTGCTAGTAGCAGTGATCACTCAAGCAGGAACCGCACTGACTGGCCCTTGTTTGCATACCAAGACTTTAGTGGTCCATCTGACAGGAGTTCTTAGTTGTTAATATCTGGGGTAGTTTATTCATTCTTATAAATGATCTGGAGGTTGAAATGAAGTCCTCTAAGATGTTTATATGCTGTAAAAGTCCTTACTTAAATAATGCAGAATTAAAAATTATTCTCTCTTTACTTTATGCAGACAAAAATATTATTTCCTTCAAAACTGCACAATTTTCACAGAATATAACATTGTACTTACCGCATAGTGCTGGAGACCTCCACTGCAAGACAACTCCAGCCTCCCTGCACTCTGATGCGTATGCTTCCAGAGCATCACACAGACACTCATCTCCAGCTCCGCATGCACAGAGATCATATACACATGAAGCAAAGAACATCTCTGGTGGAACCACTCTGTGACATGGCTCAAACACACTGGACTTTAGTAATTTGCAACGACCATTGGCTTCTTTCCTGGCACGATATCCCGCTTGTTTACAGGGATCCACATCTTGCCCATCCCAGCACCCACTGGAGGAGTCATTACTGCTTTGTACCTGTGTAAAAACATGTATATCATAAAACTGAGCACAAATGTAATGCAGATCATCATAACAGTATAACTATATACAGTATTATAGAAGCCTTGAAAATGTACAAAACTGTAAAGGTATAAAGATCCTTAGAGATGAATAGCTAGAGAATGCTACTTGTCACATTGCAGCATTTTCATCACCTTCCAACTGTTTCCAAAGGCGGCTTCAGACAGAAGGATCTGACCCCTTCGATCACGGAAATCATCTTGAGGATAATTGTTGAAATTTCCACAAAGCCCACATAGATGATCACGATAAGTTCCTGGGACGCTAACCTCCAGATGAGATCGTCCATTCCATTGTACCTGGAAGGAATGATTAAAGTGGAAAAGCAGAAAAATTAAAGAAAGCGGCAGCCTGGCAGAACATGACAATTAAAAAACTTTTCTATGTTGTCCATTGAAGGATATAGCTTGATATAGTATTCCCTGATTTATGTCTTTCCTTTACTGAAGCGACAACCTCATCTATTTTGAAGGATCTGATGGCATTCCAGTCATTTTTATAGCTCCAGATTGGGGCAAGAATTGTGGGGCTTAAAGTGATATGAAACGCATATGAAAAAAAAAAAAAAAATGTTATACTTACCCAGTGCAGTGGTTTTGTACAGAGCAGCCCCAGTCCTCCTCTTGCCTGGTCCCCTGCTCCTGGCCCCTCCCTCCTGCCTAGTGCCCCCAGAGAAAGCAGCTTGTTATGGGGGCACCCAAGCAGACTCACTCCTGAGCTGCTGCTCTTGTCCATTCACACACAAAGCCGTGGCTTGTCCCTACCCCTCTGTCCCCTCATTGGCTCATTGGCAGCTAGTGGCTCCTGCTGCTGTCTTAGCCAATGAGGAGGGAGAGTCCCCGGAGGCTCTCATGCACATTGCTGGATCGCAGTCGGACTCAGGTAAGTATTGGGGGGCTGGGAGCACTGCTGCACACAGAAGGTTTTTACCTTCATGCATACAATGCAGTAAAAAAAACCTTGAGCCTTTACAGCCACTTTAAATTTAGCATTGTCAGTGCTATGAAGATTTCCTTTTGAACCGATTTGGGACATCTCCTTGGAGTTACTATTCCGTAAGGTAGCCTTTCTTGTGGCTATTACTTCAACCAGCAGGGTTTCTGAGTTTGGGCTTCTTTACACTTGCTTCAAAATGTAGCATTGGACACACTTTTTTAAAGCACTCTAAATGCCAATCAAAGCATCTGTCACTAAATAAAATTGTAAACTTATAGTCCTGTTCACACATTGTGTTTGCTTTGCTTGAAAAATTATACCCCATGTCACTTTCTTGGTGCTTCAAAGCATCTCCAAAGCCTCCATAGAAGTCTATGGCAAAGCTTGCTAACAGCATCTGCAGCTTTTGAGGGGCTTTTATACAGTGTTAGCTTTGCTTTGTTTTGCAGATATTGCAGGTATGTGATATCCCATAATGCACTGGGAAACCAACAAGCAAACTGAATGGCGTCATCAGCAGTCACTTCCGTAATCATGTGTATGTATTCTGGAAGTGTCTGGTGCAGACGTCTGATATGCAACGTGCAGCAACAGGAAGGTGAGCGGGGTCCAGGCTGGAGCGGAGCAACTAACAGCCTGCACGCGTGTGGTGCAACATGGAAATGCTATAGCTGAATGTAAGCAGGGATTGGAGAGAGAGGACTGACTGGCAAAGGATCAGCAGAGCTAGCAGACTGGAGCAGAAGAAACTAGCAATGTCACACGTGGTATGCAGCATGGGAGCTGTATAGCAGGAGTTGACCAGAGAGAGGAGGATCAGCAAAACCAGAGGATCAGCAGAGATGGGGGTTATTAATGAGATGGGGATCATCAGAGCTGGGGGTTATTACTGAGCAGGGGATCTGCTGAATGAAGGTACTAATAAACTGGAGATCTGCTAAACGAAGGTACCAAAGAGCTGGGGATCTGCTGGACAGGGGTACTAATGAGCTGAGGATCTGCTGAGTGGGGTTACTACTGAGCAAGGGTTCAACAGGAACCCTTTAAAACAAATAGAAAATCAACACACACAGGATATTAGCCAAGCTTCATTAAAGCTTCAGAAAAACATCACCGAGGCATTACAGAAGCAATAAAGTCGAAACAAGTGTAAATGAGCCCTTACATTACCAGCATAGTCCTGTAGGGAGCCCCTTTAGATCTTATAAAGTACAAGGTTGTGTTGTGACCAGGAACCTTCTTTTTCCTAAAGTGGTTTCTCTCTTTCACCTTAAAATGGTATTTAACCCAAAACCAAAAATATAATATATTGCAGCTTATCAATCATTACATATGGGGCTGCATTTGCTTTCTTCTTTTAGGTGTTTTCCCCTATGTTTTTGGTGATCTGGCCAGTAACACACCTCCTTTATTACAGTGCCCCCATGGGCACCTTTGCACAGCAGCATTGTCAGTTGGGGGTGGGGTTTGTGTTAGATGTACTATAATATTTAAATACACTAACAACTGAAGTGAAGCTCCAGCTAATACTTTATAAGCAGTTACAGCAAAAGTTTTTTTTCTTTAGAGATAAAAGTTTTAAATGAATAAATTAAAAGCTGATCATTGTAAGCATCCCCCCACAGTGGTGAATGGTTTGTCTCATCCCTGTAATTGATACCTCTGAAAGAGAGTTTGTTCTTTTGAAAAACAGCAGACTTACTGGTTGGATCACCAGATAAAAAATAGGGGAAAGAAAGCCTAAAAATGGAAACTAATGCATCCATCACATCTAATAATTGGTAAGCAGCAACATAATAAATTAATAAATGTTTGCTGTTGGGTTTAATACTGCTTTAACTTTTTACCTTCCCTATCTCTTGCACCGGTTCACCTCATGGAGATTCTCTCCATTGCCTGGTAGTGGTGAGGCCTGTCAGGTTTACCTTTCAGCCACTTCCTCTTTTAAGCAATGAGTTCCCTTTTTGTTATATCAGAAAGTCTTAAAAAAAAGGTTTGCTGGCTTTCAGATCCAATATAGCTATTTGAATTTGACAGGTTATAGCATGGGCCTAGGAGTTGTAAGATAAAGTGCCTAGGGTAGTGAGTACTTCTTATTTATTTATGATTAGGCCTCTGTGTCCCAGATCTTTAAGACTGTAACCTGGTCTTTTGTATACAAATTCTGTAAATTCTATAGGGTCCATGTACCTATCTCTCCAGATGTAATCTTTTTCAAACGTTCTGCAAGCAGCTAATAAGAGTGTGTTTCCACCTTTGCAGTCAAAAGGGAGAATTAGAGACAGATTTTCTTTAAGTGCATTAATGTACAATGTACCAACCCAGCCTTCATATCTTTAACATTTTGTTAGGATAGACAGTGTGTACATCTAGTCTAAAACTGATAATGAAGAACTCCCAGCACAGTACAAAGAGGGTTTAATATGGTAAACATAACTCCACAGCCCCCTCCTTTACATTTGCATAGAAGGGAAAGCTAAATAAGACTTTTAAGCCATAAAAATGTTAGGAGAACTTTAAATATATATACAGTATATATATATATATATATTTTTTTTTTTTTAAGTTATGCTGCATACAAGGTGGAGCATGTAACAAATATAAAGTTGATGTTATCCCAATGTGGTTGAAAAAAATGGATGTACACTTAAATACCCTTGGTTTCCATCTGTTCTGTTTTTCCCTTGCTGGGCTAGTTCGACTTTGTTTGTTTTGGTGTGCCTGCTCCTCAGTTTGGACTGCTTTTGGACAACCCTAGGTTGCTTATTATCATCAAGCTGTGTCCCTCATAGGACAATAGAGTAAGTAGGATTTTTTTGTACTCACCATAAAATCTCCCTATTGGAATCCATTAAGGAACACAGCTCCCTCCTCTCATATGCTATAGTTTTCTCTCTTTGGTCTGCTTACTAGTGATGGTCCGTACACCCCCCTATTCGGTTCACGGTCGAACATTCGTACATAACTAGAGTTCAACAGCAAACTTTGAACAGAGGGGACAATTCACTAAACGGTATCTTACCGCATCTGAGTATGCGGTAGAATATCGCACAGCTACTAAAAACATTTTTTAATGTTTCAGCTGTCATTGGGGTTCCCTGCTGACAGCTGAATGTAAAAAGAATCGCCGGCATTCCTGGCATCTGAAATTTTTTTTAAAAAAAATCACATGGGGTCCCCCCCATCAATACCAAGCCCTTAGGGTCTGGTATGGATTTTGAGGGGAACCCCCACACCGAAATTTAAAAAAATGGTGTGGGAATCCCCCCAAAATCCATACCAGACACTTATCCGAGCATGCAGCTCAGCAGGTTGGGGGCAGATGAACCCCCCCGAACCATACCAGGCAACATGCCCCCAAAGCACCTTGTCCCCATGGGGACAAAGGCCTCTTCCCAACAACTGTGGCCAGTGGTTGGGGGGGTCTCGGGTGAGGGGTTTTTTGGAATCTGGAAGCCCTATTTAACAAGGGGGCCCCCAGATCCCGGCTCTCCCCATGTGAATGAGTATGGAGTACATGGTACCGCTACTCATTCACAAAAAAAAATTACAGTCTTTGAGAAGTCCTGTATTAAAAACCAAAAAATTTTAAATGTCCCCTGAAGTAGATGCAACGTCAATTACAATGCCCGCCGCCACCGCTGACCCGAAAAAGGAAAGCAAAAAAATGCTCTGCTCATGATGTTGCTTCCACCGTCTTACAGCTGCGCTGGGATGACAGTTCTTAAATACTGTGATGATGTCACGGGGGGGCAGGGTCACCCCCGCACCCTTGTGACTTCATCATGCACTGTGATTGGCCAAAGCATTGCACCTGACCTGTGGTCAGGTGCATTGCTTTGGCCAATCACAATGCACTGTCATACTGTGCATTGTGGGGCACGGTGGGCTAACGTTCAACTCGAACATATAGCCCATCATTACTGCTTACTACAATGGATCAGGTGTAAGAAGTTGTACTCTCAAGGGCGCCAGTCTCCTGTTTTCTACATGCCTAGTGTCCATTTCTCCTGAAGGCAGCCGTATAATTCTAAGCTGTGTCCCTCAATGGACTCTGAGAAAAGGATTACAAAGCAGTACAAAATCCTATATAGTCTAACTCAGATACAATAGATAGACCATCAATGTGCACACAATATTACTCCTAGTAACAGATATTGATACAAATACCTTAACTCCAATGTTACTGTTCAGTAGAATAGTGTTTGTTTTCCTCTCAATATATATATAAGGTTCTTTTAAGTATGGCAGCTCTACAGTCTGGTAATCTACCTGTAAAAAAAATAGATGTAAACTGATAGAATAAAATATACAATATGCTCACTGTACCAAATACAATACAGGAAACGCAAGTTAATGTCTATTTCATCCATAACCAGAAATACAAACACAATGTAAATATTTTTATCTTTATGATGTTCCAAATTAAAATTATAGATTTTACTCTTCTGGCTCTCTATTTTAAGATTTTAAAGTGTGTATCTAGGCAAAACCTTTTTTAATTCTGGTTAGCATCAGAAAGGGTAAAACCATTTGTCAAATTTTTAGTGTTGCCTGGGTCCTCATTGGGGAGATAATGGGGAGACCATTATGTTTGTCCAGATGACTGTTGTCACCAAGAAACAAAATGAGAGGAGATCTAGTTTTAGAGTTATCCACAGAATAAAAGGTAAGGGGGATCTTACCTTTCACAGGAATTCTCCAACAAGCAGCTTGCTATGGAAGCACCCAAGCAGGCTCACTCCCGAGCCACAGCTTTATGTGTCCATTAGAATGTATGAAGGCTAAAAACCTTGAGTTTTTACAACCACTTTAATATTAAAAAAAATGTAGTTAATTACACTAGTTACATATAACAATGCATTTATATTCTAAGTAAAGAAAACCGAATAAACCTTTAAAGATTGATTTCATAGTGATTTTATCTAGATTTCCACTTAAGATGGCAAAGACATGAATGCAGATGCCCTACTCACCACAACCACCCAGTCCTGCAGGAGCTGGATCACAGCATCCCCAATCAACACAGTCACTTCCTTTGTCCACGATACTCCACGTTGTCCACGGTCATCATTAGTCACATGGATACTAAAAGGCATCAAAAAAGTTGCAAAGATCTTCTGAAGCATCAAAACATAATATATTACAAAAATTATGTTATATAGGGCAGTGGAAGAAACAGACTGGGCATACAAACTAGTCTTCCTATAACACCTAAATGAAAATACTGATAAAAAGTCTATATCGTAATAATTGTGCCAGGTGACTGTTAGCAATCAATGGTGGTGCTCCATGAAGTATAGCAGAAATGCGCACTCACCAGAAAGTAAATAAATATGAGCGGTGTATATCATATCCCGAGGATCCTCATCAGAAAACGGTCTGGTCAGAATGGGTGAATCCTCTCTCTGGGTTACATTCAGAACTCGCCCAACAGTGAAATAGAACAGATCCAGGTGACAAGAGGTCTCCTAATGCAGGATGGATGGAAGGGGTTGCCTGTTTACAGGAGGTCTTCCTCCCTTTGGTATGGTGCCTAGGATCATGATAACGGGCTCTGCAAATAAAACTCCTCTCAAGGAGTCAGGGAAGGACACCCATAGTGTAGTATAATAGAAAATTGCTTTATTGTAAACAAAGTAGCGGTTTGCAAACATATGTCATCCAGGTAAATAGAGTAAACTAACCCTAGGAGATTCAAAGATGGCTGCCGGGCCTCCACGTGGCTCCAGCGGCGTAGCATCACGATGTCCGGGCTCCTCCTTACGCGTTACGTGCGCACCTCCCCTCCTTGTCGTCAGCCGGCTGTTTGGAGAAATCCGCCAGGGCACTTCGTAGTGGAGCCAGAAGTAGCGGACAGTTAACACCGGCCGCTAAACCCCTAACGTACCCAGTAATGTACTTTAGGGGTTTAGCAGCTGGTGTTAACTGTCCGCTACTTCTGGCTCCAGTACGAAGTGCCCTGGCGGATTTCTCCGAACAGCCAGCTGACGACGAGGAGGGGAGGTGCGCACGTAACGCGTAAGGAGGAGCCGGGATGTCATGACGCTACACCACCGGAGCCACGTGGAGGCCCAGCGGCCATCTTTGAATCTCCTAGGGTTAGTTTACTCTATTTACCTGGATGACATATTTTTGCAAACCGCTACTTTGTTTACAATAAAGCAATTTTCTATTATACTACACTATGGGCGTCCTTCCCTGACTCCTTGAGGAGTTTTATTTGCAGAGCCCGTTATCACGATCCTAGGCACCATACCAAGAGGAGGAAGACCTCCTGTAAACAGGCAACCCCTTCCATCCATCCTGCATTAGGAGACCTCTTGTCACCTGGATCTGTTCTATTTTACTGTTGGGCGAGTTCTGAATGCAACCCGGAAGGGAGGATTCACCCATTCTGACCAGACCTTTTTCTGATGAGGATCCTCGGGATATGATATACACTGCTCATATTTATTTACTTTCTGGTGAGTGCGCATTTCTGCTATACTTCACGGAGCACCACCATTGATTGCTAACAGTCACCTGGCACGATTATTACGATATAGACTTTTTATCAGTATTTTCATTTGTGTATTTTATCTGTTAATGTTTCCCTCAAGCGCTGCACTGTTCTATTATTCTGTTTATAAGTGTACATTGGTTGCTTAGAGTGTACAGCTGCTTTCTTCTTTTTTGGTCAGCGCTCACTTTTACCACTATTTATACTGTTTCCTATAATGCCTGCTATGCTCCAAATTTGAAGGACCCCTCACCTGAAGTCTCCTCCTTCACAGTCTTCACTGAAGACATAGGTACAACTGCCTTGGAAATGGTACATTTTACCATCAAAGGTCCTGTAGTGTGGGTCTCCAAATGCAATGCAGGTGGCTGGGCGAGGAATGCAGTGTGGACAGCACATGCCGGGATCAGGGCTGGAGTCTCATCCTAAAAAAGACAGAATAACACCTGAGGTATACTGATGAAAATGCATAGCTGTCAACCAGACTTCACATTTCCTGCTAAAATTAACATTTTATTAATGTCCATGGGGAAAAAAAAACACAAAATGTACTGAAAATTTCCCTGAACATACTGTTTATTTATTTTTTTATTTTTCTGTGTAATGTCTCAATTCTAGTATATGTCCTTTGTAACTAAGGGCTTCTCCACATATATTTAATGTAGATTTAGTGCCCGGTCATACTGGGTGCTACTTGCCGTGCGATGCGAGTTTCAAATCGCATGGCAAGTGGCACCCTATTTTCCGCAATTAAAGCGGTCATGTTGATGTGATTCCAACTTGGTCAGAGTTGCACCAGTTTTTAAAGTAGTGCATGCACTACTTCAGGTGCGACTTGCATACACGTCTGTGTCTTGCAAGCTGCATATTTTTTGCAAGTCGCACCTGAAGTCGGAATGACATCCACCTTTGAAATAGTATGACTTCACTAGAAGTCGCACGATTTCAAAGTCGTATTGGTGTGACTGGGGACTTAGACCATAACTGAATGACATTTAGTTTATTAAAGCACTGTGTAAAATAAACAAATTGTCTTTTTTGTTTAGAAAATACAGTTTTTACTCTTTCATTCTTTCATGCATCTCAGTGCTGCCTGTCTATATGCAAGCAACAGCTGCGTGCTTAAGTTGGGCTTCCTGGTGGTGACGACTGTGTGTTGAGTGTGGTAACAGGCAGTTTGAGGTTTATTGCAACTCTACATACAAACCAATCAGCTTTGAGGTTGCATTGCCAAAGCTTAAAGTGTTACTAAACCCTGGACTCTGCATTCACTATATCTGGTCTCCCACAGTACACACAGCATGGAAATGCAATTATTTTAGTAAACATAAACTGCTAAATACCTTTGTTCATCAGCGGTTAGAGCAGTCTTGTGACTTCTATCAGTGTTCAGCAGAGCACCAGTTAAAGCTTATAGAAGGAGTTTTCTTCCTGCTCTAGGAGGATGCAGAACCCCTGTCTGGAAAGTGCTGATTGGCCCTGTGCTGATCACATGTACCTCCCAAGAACACAAAAATCTCTATGTTGAGGCATGTGGCCTGGTATGGTTCAGGAGGGGGGTGCTCGCTCGCCCCCCCCCCCCCCCTTTCCTGACCTGCCAGGCTGCATGCTCGGATTAGGGTCTGGTATTAATTTTAGGGGGGACCCCACGCCATTTTTGTTTATTTTGGCGTGGGGGTTCCCCTCAAAACCCATACTAAACCTGAAGGGCTTGGTATGGAGGGGAGGGGGATGCCACATTGTTTTTTATTATTTTTTTTAAATTATTTTTAATATCCTTTCTATGCAGCTGAGCGGCAATATGTAGGTGGGGTGTTGTGTGGGTGTGTGCTTTGGCTTGAGTGTAGGCAGAGACACAGGGGGCCCCATTATCTCTTATTGCCCGGGGGCCCCATGAGTTGTCAGTTCACTCCTGGTATATGGTAATGATTATATAAGTTTTTACTAACTGGGTTTAGGTCTAATTTAGTGTATGCTTAGAAGAAATGAATAAAGGTTTGCTAAATAATCAAGAAAAAATAATCTATGAGGAGTAGCTTTAAATCTCTGTAGCAAGCAGATCTGAGATTCTAGAAAACATATGCTATCATTCATAGTGACTCACAGCAGTGCAGGATACTTGTGGACACCTCTCACTGTGGCAGTGCACCTCTCCGGAAACACATGTACAGGTTGTACACTCATTCACCTGCCAATGCTCATTCGATAAATACCTCTGGCCTTGATACAGACAGGATACAGCTGAAGCTGTGAGGAGAAAGAAGTTTTGTTAGTCCTTGGTACCAATGAAGACATCCAAGCAGTTAGCCAAAAGCTTCATAAAGAAAACCTTCCAATAGAGAAATGAAGACACTTATCTTGCAGACTCTTTATTACAATCTTAGTTTCCTGGCTGGCTTTTCTGGCTTTAAAACATTCTGAATCCCAGGCCCAGAGTAAGTATGTAGCAAGTGAAATCAGATTTAATTTAGAAAACCTGGTCTTTGTCCTAGGTTAGAGCCAAACGGTTCACATAACAGGCAGAGGACTAGCATTTTCAAACAGAGAAAATCAATGACAGCCCCTGTATGTCAGTTATACCATGATTTATGTAAAGTGTATATTTTTTGCTGTCAGCATCCTGTTCGAGATCTCCCTTCATTCCCTGCCCTGGAAACACAACAGGGAGTGAGAGGAAATCTCTACAAAACAAGGGAATTTTTTTAGACAGCTGTCACCAGAACACATCTCCTCATTGGAGGATTTACCCTTACCTCTTGTTCTGTGACAACTACAACATTTTGGATTTTGGATTTCCTCTCACTTTCTGTTTTGCTGACAATGATTACTATAACAGAGATTAATTCATGAGTCTGTTACTGATGTTCCATGAAAGATCGACTAAAACAGCCTACTCACCCTGACAAACATGGCAGCAAGTTCCAGGTGTCCGCACTTTTAGTTCACCTTGCTGGCACTGTACAGGAGGACACTCTTGTATCTGGCAGTCAACATGCCCTAGCTATGAAGAACAAAGTATTTCAATAACAGATGCTGATATTATACAAAGCCATCCTTAGAATTTTGCCCAGAAATGCAGCTTTTCACAAGAGGAATCAATCATTTCTAGAAAGTGTCATTTAGGAGGGTTAGTTTTACTATAATCCCATTGTGTTTACAAAAAATTGTATAACTATCTGTTAAATTCCCAGTTCCCACAGAGCTAGGGAACCACCTCTGAAGAAAGGTTTACCATTCAAGTACGAAAAGAATTAGGTCAGTGAGACCTCATGCACATGGATGTATTCATACATTTTATTTGCCTAGCATAAGATTCCCAGTGCTTTCCCGCACCCGGAGAGCCACAGCTGGAGCATACAGCCTGTCATACAACTGAATGGCTGTGTGTGGCCGTAGTTGTGGAAATGCTGATGCTCCCATGCATCGATGTTTACCTGTGTAGATGCTGCATTTTCTAGATGTATAAATTTTGTATTTGGTAAAAGCAACAATAACTTTACTCTAGGTATATAAAATCAAAGTCAAAGTGCATGGGGACTATGGCCTGGTTCCCACCTTTGCATACATTGAATCTAATGAGGCCATTCACATCCATGTGCTGCCACAATGCATGTTAAAAGAGAGACGAAAAAACAAACAAAAGCAGACACAGATATATGTGAACCTATCCTAAGAGTAACACACATGTAAACTATTGGTTTTATGACTGCTCAAAGATTCTTTAAAAGGGCCAGCTTGCCCAAAGCTGGTATCTCAGTGTATTGTAGTTACCATTGAGGTTAATTAGTAACAATTGTTTTATATTATTCAAAGATTCTTGAGGGGAGATCTTTGAAGACATCTTCTAAGCTCTGCCTATCTGCTACTGTTGTTCCAAGTGGTCTCACTGTTGAATACTATATTTATTTTACACTACAAAGAATGCAGCAGGAAGAGTAGTACTCCATGTTAGGTAGGAGTAGGACTTGGAACATCAGTGGAAATTTTGCTTCTGAAGAGTGATATTCAGCTAGATGATAATTCATGCATTAGCATTTATCCATGATGGGTTTTAGAAGACTGAACCTTTAAAGGATGCTTGTCACAAGAGAAACACAGAGGCTATTAACCTCCCCATGTGAAAGGCTGGTTGTCTGACAGTCTTACTGTCGCTATTATCTTCAATTATTTGAACCACTGACCTGAAACAAGTATACACATTAATACTTTTGACTTTCCTAATCCATAAACGTATACCTGGTCAGTTAATATTAAAGCCAGTGGGTCCACCTAAGAGAGAGACAACTAATATTTTCTCAAGGATATCAGCAGTAGCAGCCCTTCTAAATTCTCTCTTACAGTGCCTTGAAAAAGTATTCATGGCCCTTGAAATTTTCCACATGTTAAAACCAAAAACTTATAAATTTATTTTATTGGGATTTTATGTGACAGACCAACACAAAGTGGCACATAATTGTGAACTGGAAGGAAAATGATAAATGGTTTTCAAATTTTTTTACAAATAAATATCTGATAAGTGTGGCATTTTTATTCAGCCCCCTTTATTCTGATACTCCTAACTAAAATCTAGTGGAACTAATTGCCTTCAGAAGTCACCTAACTAGTAAATACAGTCCACCTGTGTGTAATTTAATCTCCGTATAAAAACAGCTGTTCTGTGAAGTCCTCAGAGGTTTGTTAGAGAACATTTGTAAACAAACAGCCTCATGAAGGCCAAGGAACACACCAGACAGGTCAGGAATATAGTTGTGGAGAGGTTTATTTATTTTTTTTTTAATTTAAATATTTATTAAATTTTTCATGTTAATACAAAAACCCAAAAAAAAGGGAAATAATTCTCATACAAATAGACATTTATAACATTTCTACCTTTCCCTTACTAAAAAAACTCTTTTCTTTCCCATCCCACTACCCTCCCTTCCCACCCCTCACCCCCCCTCCTCCCCCTCTGCAGACTCTAACCCATTCTACTCTCTTGAGGCTTATTAATTTTTTTGCTAACACCCTAGTTCATATTTTCCTATATTTCTCTTTCAATCCTGCTCTTTCCCACTTTTCCCATCTCCTAAAATAAACTCTCATCCTATCTTCCTGCATATGGTATGATCTTTCCATTCTACCTATCTGGTTTACTCTATTAATCCAGTCTTCCTCCTTCGGTACCTCAGCTTTCCGCCAAAACTTGGGTATCAACCCTTTCGCCGCGTTCAAGAAGTACCAGATACCTGAATCTTTATATTTATTTACAGATGTCTCCACATTGTGTAGGAGACACGTCGTTGGGTCTAACCCTATGTCAATTTCAGTTATTTCTTTAATCAATTTGACTATTATCTTCCAAAAAGCCTGGATTTTCGGACATTCCCACCATATGTGAAACGCCGTGCCCATCTCTCCACATCCTCTCCAGCACATATTTGAACTTTCCCCACTCATCTTGTGCTCTACACTCGGTGTAATGTGCCATCGTGTCACACACTTATAATTAACCTCAACCTCTCTCATACTGACATTATCGTGTATCAATCTAAACATCTTTCTCTGTCTATCTTCATCAAACCCAAGAGGAGAGGTTTAAAGCAGGGTTAGGTTATAAAAAAAAATCCCAAGCTCTGAACATTTCACAGAGCACTGTTCAATCCACCATCCGAAAATGGAAAGAGTATGGTACAACTGCAAACCTACCAAGACATGGCCGTCCACCTAAACTGACAGGCCTGGCAAGGAGAACATTAATCAGAGAAGCAGCCAAGAGGCCCATGGTAACTCTGGAGGAGCTGAAGAGATCCACAGCTCCGGTAGGAGAATCTGTACACAGGACAACTATAAGTCATGCACTCCACAAATCTGGCCTTTATGGAAGAGTGGCAAGAAGAAAGCCATTGTTGAAAGAAAGCCATAAGAAGTCCCGTTTGCAGTTTGCAAGAAGCCATGTGGGGGGACACAGCAAACATGTGGTAGAAGGTGCTCTGGTCAGATGAGACCAAAATTTAACTTTTTGGCCTAAAAGCAAAACGCTATGAGTTGTGGAAAGCTAACACTGCACATCACCCTGAACACATCATCCCCACTGTGAAACATGGTGGTGGCAGCATCATGTTGTGGGGATGATTTTCTTCAGCAGGGACAGGGAAGCTGGTCAGAGTTGATGGGAAGATGGATGGACCCAAATACAGGACAATTTTAGAAGAAAACCTGTTGGAGTCTGCAAAAGACTTGAGACTGGGACGGAGGTTCACCTTCCACCAGGACAACGACCCTAAACATGCAGCCAGCGCTACAATGGAATGGTTTAGATCAAAGCATATTCCTGTGTTAGAATGGCCCAGTCAAAGTCCAGACCTAAATCCAATTGAGAATCTGTGGCAAGACTTCAAAATTGCTGTTCACAGACACTTTCCATCCAATCTGACAGAGCTTGAGCTATTTTGCAAAGAAGAATGGGCAAATATTTCACTCTCTAGATGTGCAAAGCTGGTAGAGACATACCCAAAAAGACTTGCAGCTGTAATTGCAGTGAAAGGTGATTCTACAAAGTATTGACTCCAGGGGGCTGAATACAAATGCACTCCACACTTTCCAGATATTTATTTGTACAAAATTTTGAAAACCATTTATAATTTTCCTTCCACTTCACAATTATGTGCCACTTTGTGTTGGTCTATCACATGAAGTCCCAATCACATACGTTTACATTTTTGGCTTTAACATGACAAATTGTGGAACATTTCAAGGTGTATAAATACTTTTTCAAGGCACTGTACATTTTTTTACATAGTTTATTTCATGGTTACAAAATCATACAAGAAAGGGTATTTTGTCAATTGCCACGTCATACTATACAGTACGCAGGAGGCCATGAGATGTTAGCTGGTGACATTTGCTTTCCTTACATTCTGTTGTGTGCACATTAAACATGGCTACCAATAAATAATATCAAATATTTTAAACATCATGTTTGCTGATGAGATCAGGAAGTTTTACATTTTCTACACCAAAACAGTTAACAGTAAAAAATAAAAAAAAAGCCTCATACCATACAGTATATCATTAGCATTACTTTACACAGATATTTTTTTAGAAGCATACACTATATATATCCATGAAATGTAAGCATAAACACTACTCACTGTACAGGTGCAGGTGATACATGGATTTTGTCTGTCTGCCCAAGTCTCTCCATCTGGAACCCTCCGTCCTTCAAGCTCAACCATACATTCTGTATAGGGATACGACTAACTTAGTGCATAATGCCTTGTAAAAGGTTGTACACTACAGTTGTTTGAAAAACATTTATTAGTCTATGGACTATTTTAGAATTACTACATTGTGCAACCATATTATTACAACCACCATATAAGCTTCAGAATCTAGTTATGCACAACTGCACTTTTCTGCATAGTAAAAGTATCAGAATACAACAGTAAATAAATTATTAAAGTCTTATACAGTTTAGTTTGCCATTAGAACATTTTTTGAAGGTAGTAAAGCAAAGGGTTGAGTATGTGGGTCAAAAATTCAAGAGACCCCGAAAAAAAATCAGGATTCCTTTTTTCCTTTTGGAGAACATGTATTCCTTCCATGCTTTAGTATCAATGAAATAAGTCTCACCAGTGCATATTGGGCAACATGAACCAGGCGGTGTAATCTGTTCTGAACGAGGGCAGCTGAGTATTGGGCAGGGTCTATGTTCACACACCCATGTTAGGTCCTAAAACAAAACCATAAAATACATAAATGAGGAAAAATGCATAAACATAGGGTGACCAGCTCTATAATTTATTTTTGTACCTTGCAGTGGCAGGTGTAACAGGGGTCATTGATAGCCTGTATCTCACTTCCCACCAATAGGTCTGTGCAGTTGCTCAGAGCCTCTAAAAACAGAGTAAATTAGAGATACAGGCAAGCCGTGGCTTTTTACTTAAATGACTTCCAGATGATTAGAAATTACAACTTACGGGCACAGCTGGCACAGCACTGGCCAACAGCAGGTGGCAAAATTTGATTCCTGGGACAATCCAAGAGGCTGGGACACTGCTTTCTGCTGCAACGTCTGTATTGCCGGCCATCTGGTAAACGCTATACAGAGAATTGGAAATTAATTGGTATAATATACCCATACATATAGGCACCATTTCCTTTCTTTATTTGTTAATAAGTTACCTCTTACATACTAGAATTTTAATTTCTTACCTCACATGTGCAGATATCACATGGATCTTCAGAGGGATGGAAACTGTCCCCAGGAACATACACCTTTTTATTAACTACACAGTCTATAAGGAAATGCAGTTAGTTATACTATAGGACCACATAAATAATAATAATGATACATAGATGGAGCAGAAAGACAGGGGAAAGAGAGGTTGAGCATGTAGACTACCAGAAATCCAAAGATGGTGACAGGAAAAAAACATGAAATATAGCTCACATGTTCAAGAAACACAGATACAGATTTAGATACAGGAGAAAAGTTCAGGCAGGAAACAATATTTAGATACTACATAAGGCAAACCCAGAGAAGGTTCTAATATATTTACCTGCACACAGAGGACAGCACTCTCCAGGCAATGTTATGTGACTGCTGCAAGAAGTGATACACTGTAACCTGGAGCAGGTAGTGACACCATCCACACACATGCATGCCATGCAGCGATCCACGCTGGAGATCCAGTTACTATGGTCTTTGTATTCCCGACCATTGTAAATACAGCCTGTAAAACAAATGTAAAACTGGTGTAACATAGCAATATTTGAAGGCTTCAAAGAATAATGTGGTAGATGTGTAAAAACAAGTGCTGAATGCATGGTTGTGGTTGAAATGAAAGGATGCCTTTTAAATAGCATTACATCCAATGTAGAAGCTCCACTGTTGGGTGGTGTGGGGTACCTATAAAGCTGAAGTGCTCACAATTACATATCTGCAAAATCAGTATGTCTGGACACAAGTGGGGAGTTACACATTACCAGGAAGGACGTCAAATGACACAGTACCGTCAGAAGAAAACTTTATATACTGTATTGCGTTGGATATGTTAGATGACTATCAATTGTTTTACATAGATACTACAAAGATAAATACAGCACTGTGGCCTACCGCTCATGCATATTTTTTGGGACTAGATGTCCATGCCTATGTATTTTTAGGAAGAAAGAAAGGGATATGTAGTTGGTGACATTGTTGTTATATTATTGCCATATGCTTAGGTCAGTTGCAGAATTAACTTTTTCATTGTCTCAAGACTATAGATTGTAGGGCTAGAATTAAAAGGTTTATGTGTGTTAATGGTGAAAACAGTCTTCATCTAAACAGAGTCAGATATATACCGCCTGATCCTGCTAGCCAACTGTCTTGTGAAGACCATCTTCCACTCCAACCACCAGGCTACATAGCAATGTAAGATATCATAACCACATGAGGTTTACCAAGGCTGGGGGCAGAAACATTCAAAGAGACTATTTGCCCACTCTGCATCAGTACATAATTGTCTATCTATTCTGACAGCAGTATACTTCTATATATGGACCCAAAATGGGTGACCTGTGATTACACAATGCAATATTCAGGCAACAAAACTGCACATATTGTGTGTAAATGAAAACAATGAGAACCCAGACAGAGTCCTCTGCCAGGTAGGACTACAGTCTGTAAACATTTATTGGATGTGTTATGTGTGTATTAGGATTAGGTTACTGATAGTCAACAACTTGCCATGCCACTCGTATAAAAAGTTTTTATTTAGCTTTCAAATCCTACCAAATTATTTAAAGTGGGTATTAGTTATTACTTTAATCTACCAAATGTACTTGAAACTCTAGACATTCATTGTATCTATTTGGTCCTACGGCACTTGCAGCTGTTAAGCAAGGAATAGGCTTGCACTGAAACTCACCTCTACAACGAGGACAGCATGCGCCAGGATCTGTCACTTGCTGTGTACATGGCAGAGATGGGCATGTGGGAGGATCACATTGTACACTGCCTGACTGTAATGAAACACAAAGCATCAAATCAAAGACACCCATAAACAGTATACCTGACACGTTAGCATATACAATTTTCCAACATACTGAGGGCAATTTATCAAAACCGGAGCAGCCAGAATTTGGAGTGGCTGTGCATGGCAACCAATCAGTTTCTACTTTAATTTTCAAAGCCTAACTGAATAAGTTGAAGCTAGAAGCTGATTGGTTGTCATGCCCAGCTGCTCCAAATTTTGGTTGCTCCAGTTTGGATAAATTCACCCCACTGTGTGCAGCATTGTCTAGGAAACGTGAAAATGTTTAATACATATGCACCATGCTTGTCATGCAACTAGAGGTTTTACATTGTTCTAAAAACAGAACTAATGCCATATATGAAATGCAGAAGTCCAATTCCATTTGTGTACTTACTTTGCATGTGCATTGTAGACATGGATCTGTGGGAGGTACCCAGCGTGCACCTTCACTGTACTCTTTCCCTTGGTACCAGCATACTGATACATGGAAAGAAATAAAAAAAGTATAATGTTTCTAAAAGTGCATGCAGCATGTATCAAACACTACTGCAATCAGGGCATCACGATAAAAACATGGAAAATTTTAATTATTACAGGTATAATCCATTAGGTCTGCTGTACATAGTTCATCTACACACCAAAACAAATCTAAATGTGAACAAGCTAGTTTGAGCAGAGCTGTGGTTAAAGCCTAAGTTTAGTCAAAATAAAAAAAAGCAAAAGTCAGCACAAGCAACATTATTTACTATTAATCCGATGTGTCCCTTGTGTTTCTGGCTGCTGCATTCCTTGAAATATTCATCTTCCAACACCTCAAACTCCTCACCACCACCAACCCAACCCTCATAATCTTCCCATGTGGCTCTTATCAAAGTACCTGACTATGCCTGCCCTTACATATCCTCCATATATGGAAGTAATACCACAGTTTCTATGAATGAAACAAGATCTACTGTATGAATGACGGATGGGTGGATGATTAAAAAGTCCGCCCCTCCATTCATAGATTTTGTTTAATTCATACTGTAAAAAAATTCATGTAGTATGGCTTCTATGACTGGAAGAGCTGGGTGGAAAGGGTGGGCATAGCTGGGCACTCTTGATGAGTCCCTGTCACTGCTCCCTCAGTTCCATTAATTCATGTCACACACCAAAAGATTACAGCAGTGGAGATAGGGGGGTTGGAAGATGTAGAGTTCCAGGAAAGCAGTGTGCTCAGGTACCACTTTAGCTGATGGGTAAGTTTGGCACAACATTTTGGGGTTATTGGTGGGCTGTGCATAATAGTTTAGGTATATGACATGATTTGAGTTCTTTTGTAAGGTTGGAAAGCTCCTTTTTAAATTCCTGCATTTGCTCCTTATCTTGGTTATGCTATTGACAGCTTTACCAATTCATGGATCCCAACATTATTTTTAGGGAAGGACTAGTGACAGTGAGGAAGAGTAGGCACAGAAGCAAATGGGAGGATTACGAATTAATGGCACCACAAGCACAACTCAAATTTATGATGGACTTTTCATGTGCTCCAGAAACATGTGTTCCCGAAATGCGCTAGTGTAAATGGGGCCTAATAGTTCCTCTATTGCAGTGGTTTCTCAACTCTTTCTAGCGCCGCGCCCCCTTAATACAGTTCCTCATGTTGTGGTGACCCCCAACCATAAAATTATTTTCGTTGCTACTTCATAACTGTAATTTTTTGCAGTAGGGGGAATAGTGCCACGTCATTGGTATCTAAGTGGGAGGAATAGTGCCCCATCATTGGTGTCAGTGGGAGGAATAGTGCCCCATCATTAGTATTGCAGTGGGAGGAATAGTGCCCCATCATTGGTGTCAGTGGAAGGAAATTCAGTGCCCCATCATTGGTATGAGTGGGAGGAATAGTGCCCCATCATTGGTATCAGTGGAGGAATAGTGCCCCGTCATGTGGTGTCAGTCCCTTCATTGGTGTCAGTGGGAGGAATAGTGCCCCGTCATTGGTTGTCAGTGGGAGGAATAGTGCCCCGTCATTGGTGTCAGTGGGCGGAATAGTGCCCCCTGTCATTGGTGTCATGGGAGGAATAGTGCCCCGTCATTGGTGTCAGTGGGGGAATAGTGTCCCGTCATTGGTATCAGTGGGAGGAATAGTGCCCCGTCATTGGTATTCAGTGGTAGGAATAGTGCCCCGTCCATTGGTGTCAGTGGGAGTGGAATAGTGCCTCGTTCATTGGTGTCAGTGGGAGGAATAGTGCCCCGTCATTGGTGAGTCAGTGGAGGAATAGTGCCCCGTCATTGGTGTCAGTGTGAGGAATAGTGTCCCATCATGGTGTCAGTGGGAGGAATAGTGCCCCAATCATTGGTATCAGTGGGAGGAATAGTGCCTCATCATTGGTATCAGTGGGAGGAATAGTATTGGTGTCAGTGGGGGGGAATAGTGCCCATCATTGGTATCAGTGGGAGGAATAGTGTCCCATCATTGGTATCAGTGGGAGGAATAGTGCCCGATCATTGGTGTCAGTGGGAGGAATAGTGCCCCATCATTGGTATCAGTGGGGGGAAAATAGTGTCCCATCATTGGTGTCGTGGGAGGAATAGTGCCCCGTCATATGGTGTCAGTGGGAGGAATAGTGCCCTCGTCATTGTATCATTGTGAGGAATAGTGCCCGTCATCGGTGTCAGTGTGAGGAATAGTGCCCCATCATTCGGTATCCAGTGGGAGGAATAGTGGCCCCGTCATTGGTGTCAGTGGGAGGAAATAGTGCCCCCTTCATTGGTGTCAGTGGGAGGAATAGTGCCCCACGTCATTGGTGTCAGTGGGAGGAATAGCGCCCCGTCATTGGTGTCAGTGGGAGGAATAGTGCCCCGTCATTGGTGTCAGTGGAGAATAGTGGCCCCGTCATTGGTGTCAGTGGGAGGAATTAGTGCCCCGTCATTGGTGTCAGTGGGAGGAATAGTGCCCCGTCATTGGTGTCAGTGGGAGGAATAGTGTCCCATCATTTGGTATCAGTGGGGAGGAATAGTGCCCCGTCATTGGTATCAGTGGTAGGAATAGTGCCCCGTCATTGGTGTCAGTGGGAGGATATAGTGCCCCCGTCATTGGTGTCAGTGGTCAGGAATAGTGCCCCGTCATTGGTGTCAGTGGGAGGAATAGTGCCCTTCATTGGTGTCAGTGTGAGGCAATTGAGTGTCCCATCATTGGTGTCAGTGGGAGGAATAGTGCCCCATCATGGTTACTCAGTGGGAGGAATAGTGCCTCATCTTGGTTAACAGTGGGAGGAATAGTGCCCCATCATTGTGTCAGTGGGGGAATAGTGCCCATCAAATGGTATCAGTGGGAGAAATAGTGTCCCATCATGTATCAGTGGGACAATAGTGCCCCATCATTGGTATCAGTGGAAGGAATAGTGCCCATCATTGGTACAGTGGGGGGGAATAGTGTCCCATCTATCATTGGTGTCAGTGGAGGAATAGGTGCCCCCGCCGTCATTGGTGTCAGTGGGAGGAATAGTGCCTCGTCATTGGTATCAGTGTGAGGAATAGTGCCCGTCATCGGTGTCCAGTGTGAGGAATAGTGTCCCGTCATCGGTATCAGTTGGGGAGGAATAGTGCTCCGTCATCGGTGTCAGTGGGAGGAATAGTGCCCCATCATCGGTGTCAGTGGAGGAATATGCCCCATCATCGGTGTCAGTGGGAGGAATAGTGCCTCATCATCGGTATCAGTGGGAGGAATAGTCCCATCATCGGTTATCAGTGGGAGGAATAGTGCCCCATAGGTGTCAGTGGGAGGAGGAATAGTGCCCCATCATTGGTGTCAGTGGGGGGGAGGAAATAGTGCCGCATCATCATTGGTGTCAGTGGGGGGAATAGTGCCCCATCATAGGTGTCAGTGGGAGGAATAGTGCCCCATCATTGGTATCAGTGGGAGGAATAGTGCCCCACTTCATTGGTATCAGTGGGAGGAATAGTGCCCCGTCATTGGTGTCAGTGGGAGGAATAGTGCCAACCGTCATTGGTATCAGTGGGTAGGAGGTAATAGTGCCCCGTCATTGTATCAGTGGGAGGAATAGTGCCCCGTCATTGGTTATCAGTGTGAGGAATAGTGCCCTGTCATCGGTATCAATTGTGAGGAATTAGTGCCCCGTCATCGGTGTCAGTGGGAGGAATAGTGGCCCATCATCGGTGTCAGTGGAGGGAATAGTGCCCCATCATCGGTATCAGTGGGAGGATAGTGCCCCATCATCGGTGTCAGTGGGAGGAATAGTGCCCATCATTGCTGTCAGTGGGAGGAATAGTGCCCCATCATTGCTGTCAGTGGAGGAATAGTGCCCCATCATTGCTGTCAGTGGGAGGAGGAATAGTGCTCCATCATTGGTGTCAGTGGGGGGAGGAATAGTGCCCCATCATAGGTGTCAGTGGGGGGAATAGTGCCCCATCATTGGTGTCAGTGGGGGGAATAGTGCCCCATCATAGGTGTCAGTGGGGGGGAGAATAGTGCCCCATCATAGGTGTCAGTGGGGGGAGGAATAGTGCCCCCATCCTGGTGTCAGTGAGGGGAGGAATAGTGCCCCATCCTTGGTGGTCAATGTGGGGGGAGTGCCCCCATCCTTGGTGTCAGTGGGGGGAGGAATAGTGGCCCCATCCTTGGTGTCAGTGGGGGAGGAATAGTGCCCCATCCTTGGTGTCAGTGGGGGGTGGATTCGTGCCCCGGCATCCTTGGTTCAGTGGGGGGAGGAATCGTGCCCCATCGTTGGTGTCAGTGGGGGGAGGAATCGTGCCCCATCCTTGGTGTCAGTGGGGGAGGAATAGTGCCCCATCCTAGGTGTCAGTGGGGGAGGAATAGAGTGCCCCATCGTTGGTGTCAGTGGGAGGAATAGTGCCCCATCATTGGTGTCAGTGGGGGGAATAGTGCCCCATCAAGCGGGTCAGTGGGGGGATAGTGCCCCATCATAGGTGTCAGTGGGGGGAGGAATAGTGCCCCATCCTTGGTGTCAGTGGGGGAGGAATAGTGCCCCATCCTTGGTGTCAGAGGAAAAGTGCCCCCATCGTTGGTGTCAGTGGGGGGAGGAATAGTGCCCCATCCTTGGTGTCAGTGGGGGGAGGAATAGTGCCCCATCCTTGGTGTCCAGTGGGGGGAGGATTAGTGCCCCATCCTTGCAGTGGGGGGGAGGAATTGTGCCCCCATCGTTGGTGTCAGTGGGGGGAGGAATCGTGCCCCATCCTTGGTGTCAGTGGGGGAGGAATAGTGCCCCATCGTTGGTGTCATTTGGGGGAGGAATAGTGCCCCATCGTTGGTGTCAGTGGAGGAATAGTGCCCCCATCATTGGTGTCAGTGGGAGGAATAGTGTCCCATCGTTGGTGTCAGTGGGAGGAATAGTGCCCCATCATTGGTATTAGTGACACCAAATGATGGGGCACTATTCCCACTGACACCAATGATACTTACCTTGCAGACCCCTGCTCCAGCCTGGGCTCGCTCGCTCCCTCCCTCTCCCATGGTACCTGACACTTACCTGTCAGATGTCTTCCTTCTCCGGCCGCTCTCCTCCTCTTCACCGACTCGCTCGATCTTCGCGGTGCCGCTCGGCTCCTCCTCTCCAAGCTCAACACCTCCTTGCCGGTGATTGGCCCCTGTGTGCCTCTCCTGAGCTACAGTGCCGGCGGCCAATCACAGGCGAGGATTGATCTCGAGGGTGTGTCCAGATGACAGGGGCGGCATGTCATCCCGCCCACATGGAGACGGCGGCGGCGGCGGCGAGGAGCGGTGTCTCGGTTCCTAAGACCATCGGAAATATGTGTTTTCCGATGGTCTTAGGCGACCCCTGTGGAAGCGTCGTTCGACCCCCAAAGGGGTCGCGACCCCCCAGGTTGAGAACCGCTGCTCTATTGTGTTGCTTACAACACTGCATCAAGTAATCTTTGGTTTTCCGATTTGTATATTTCTCAACATTTTAAATATGATCCAGGAATACTTTATTACTGAGCCTACGTATTTAAAAATATTTATGTGGAATACTGTCCAATGCCAGAAAAGTGATGTGTATTAATTAGGAATTTAAAAGCTTTTCTTCAATGAATACATATTAACCTGAAAGATGAGTCAATATTATTATTTTATGATATGACATGAAACATATCTGGCATGTGAAACAGTTGCTCTGTATTGGAATGAAAGAATGAAATACACATGTTGACCTCTCCTTAAAAGTCAATTGCCTGACTTTTGTATTAATTGTATTGCTTCAATAGTTTTAATAGGAACATGGAAGTGTGCAGTGAGTGAAGTCAGAACTCTTTATCAGTATGCTTGTTTAGTGACCCAGAAAGTCAGTGAACCAGAAATAACTAAGATCAGCATTTTCTGAATTCCCCAACAGGTTTCTCATGACAGGTGTAATTTAGGATCTTTATATGAGTTTAGTGATCCTGGAACATATGTAAAGTGGCTCTGGCCTATCTACATCTTACCTCACACCCAAAATGTGGACAAAATACCCATCTTGCTCAATACTCAAAATGTCTTCTATGCACCCTCAAACACAACCTATGACATATTTTATCCTACTGTAACACTGTCATACCTGGGCACTCCTTGCAACACTGGCCAGGCTTACTAACTGGGTTGGCACAAAAGATTTGAGGGCACACAACATGTGTACATGTCACACTGCCTTCTAGGCACACACATCGGAGACATGGGTTGGATAAGGAATTGAATGTCTGCCGATTAGAATATTCTCTTTGCCTTCATAGAGACAGCGGTCACAAACAGGGCAGCAAGGAGATAATGGGGAAGGCACAGGGTGACTGCAGTCTTGGGCACATGGAATGCGCTGACAGTTCACCATCTCATTCTGTGAGGAGAAAAAATATTCATTTTAAACAAAAGCAAATGTATACAATATGTATTTTTTGTGATACAAAGTTTCTAGTTACAAAGATTACTCAAAAAGTATCTGCAACCATTTTCTCACTTACACAGTTATTAAAGGTTTCACCTGTATGAGGGGAGTAACATAATTCTGTTCTGCAATAGAAAGCACTAACTTTACATATACTGTAGATATTAGTACTCTGTAGTCTGCAAATGGCTAGTCTTTTTCTCATGGATTGTAACACAGCACTAACTTTACATATACTGTATATAGTAGTACTCTGTAGTCTGCAAATGGCTAGTTTTTTTCTCATGAATTGTAACACAGAACTAACTTTACATGTATTACTTGTATTAAACTGCATTATTATAGATAGGATATAGCCAATATACAATGTTGAGGATAAACAGACCTATTTATTAAGTAATTCAAACTGCAACCTCTATGACAGCTAAGTAAAATGTTAAATGGGTAATGCAATTTTCTTAAAATCCTGGTAGAGAAAGTACTATAGCCAGAGGTTCAGTATAACTACACAACTTGCATTTTTAGAAGGAGTCAGAACAGTTTCCCCCATATTTCACTAATGACAGGTTTACTTTTAAGTACTATGGCATAGTACTTAATTATATGGTTATCTGCATGTATAGTTTTCTCTTGGTCCCCCTAAAGTCCCACAAATACAAGTTGATGCGGTCACTGAAGTCCACCTAATGCAGCTTCCTGAGATGGGGTGGCAACGATGCTGCACTGTGTCTCTAAATATATAAGATGTGTCTGCTGTGCATGAGGTTTGATAGGCTATCTGTTTTTTCTAATCTGAACAGATATAGGTATCTTATTGTTTTTAAACATTTCACGACAATTATCGTAATAAGGTCCACCAGAGCACCTTCTGGTAGACTAAACGACTAGTCTGGCACTACATGTAGAAGACTGTACTTACCCTACAGGAACATTGAGTGCACTTGTCTCCGGGTAACTGGAAGTTGTCACCATTCTGGTATGTGCGTCCATTGTGCTTGCATATACCAGTGCAGCGTGGGCAACACTCTGCTGGTGGTGTCACTGGGTGTAGACATGACACAGCTGGACATGGAAGTGACACACAGGTCACTTCTCCATTCTGTAAAACAGAAATAAAAAATTAATAGGCAATTTCAGAGAGTTGCTAAACAAAAATAAAAAAAAGGCATATTTAAATGGATTGTTTATGCATAGTGTTATATGTATCATTCTCTCATAAGCAACACCGATGAGCACCTGTAGTTATATCTTTCAAAGTTTTCATATATGCCCATCTTAAAAAACTATGTGCTACCTCAGCAAAATCATCCAAATCAACTACTATGTCCAGTGGTTGCCTCACCCTGCAATTGCAGCGGCTGCATTCATCCTCAGGGTCAGGGAAGCTCTCTCCATTCAGACAGTCCTGGCCATTATAGTTACATCCATCACACACTGGACACATGCATGGATCCTCTCCAGGGTGAGGACAGTTCACGTTTTCACAGGCCTGAGGGACACAGGTGACATGCCCTCGCTGAGAATTAGAAAAAAGATATGCCACTAGTTTACTGTTATTTAATCAGTGAAGCTATCATGGTATTACTTTAGTGCCATGGGTCTTATAGGTTCCTTCACTCACCATGCAGCGGCACTGCTCACATTCACTTTGTGGGGAAGTAAAAGCCTGCCCATCTAGGTAGTTCTGGCCCTGAAAATGGCAACCTAGAAACAAAAAGACAATCACTATGCCAGGCCCAAGAGCTATATATCACAAGATACAATGCTCCAAAGGAGGAATGAAGGAAAGGCCGAATTTGATCTTTTTATACTATGAATATATTATATTTTGGATATGAAGACACTGGTGTTTTAAAATTTCAGTCCAGTCCAACCCTACTGTATATTAAAGTCCTGTCTCCTTTCTTTAGGTAGGATTTAGGCAGCAAATTATATTTTGGGAAGGACTTCAAAATGAATGGTAGAAGAAAAACTTGAAAATCAAGTGGTTGCCTCATCCTAACCTCTCCAGATCTTATAATATTCAAAAACAAATACCATATATAATTGACTACAGGTAGTAATATGCCAGCTCACTTTTAAATAATAGGTACAAGAGAGTAACAATGGAAAAAATGACCCTGGTTAGTCACAAACCTTAAAGTGTAACTGGACTTCTCTTATAAAAAAAATAATACAAGAAAGACCTCAGAGGTAGATGTGTACCCCTGTTGCACTGGCTGGCTTGACCAGCTCTTGGCAGTATTTTCTTCCCAAAAACAAGGCAGGTTCCTTTTCTAAGTGTATGTGTGGTGCCCAATCTACAGAAATGAAAGGAAGAACTATCTAATCTGGTTCAGTGAGTGGTTCTTCTAATAGTTTCCATAGGCCATGTGCCGCATATGCACACAATTATTGAGGGGGTGCAGGGAGGAGGGGAAGGCTTCTCTGTAGTCTTTACTAAAATTACACTTTAACCTTTAATGACGTTTCACTCTAACCCTTTTGTGACCAGTGGTTATTGATATCTAAATGACCAGGCCAAATTTTGGAACTTCAGCATGCACCAGTTAACTTCATAATAACACTATGACTATTTTTAATACCTAAATCATTTTAATATATTTTTAGGAAAGTATAAAGCTCTTTTGAGTTTTTTTTTTTATTACAGGCTGACAAATGCTTTTGCAGGTGGCAACCCATTTTCTATATGGGTTCACCTTATCTTTCTCATCCAACTGAAGAATAATCCTTCTTTTCAGGTAATTTCCTAAATAAAGTTGTCTTCATAATATCAGATCACTGTCAATCAATATTTACCTTGGCACAAAGGACAATCACAAGGGCCGGTCACAGGATGAGGACAATTCGTTGGAGGACACAGCTTGTGAACACATTGGACAGATCCAGACTAAAGAAATGGCAAAAATGTTATTTTAATTAAGGAGACATGGTGAACTGATGACTAGGGAGGTTATTATATTGCATATTTATTTATTATATATTTTATTGTTTGTTGTAAACAGCAAGCACATACGGGAAAAATAAAAATGTTCAATTTTAAGAGAGCTAATTTTTCAAGGCTGAGAGCTGCTCTCCAAGACTTAGACTGGGAGGGAATATTGGCATCAATGAACATAACACAGAAATGGGAGTTCTTCAAAAAGACTGTTTGTGAACACACTGCAAAATATATTCCCATGGGCAACAAGTTTAAAAGGTTAAAAAACAAACCTATGTGGCCAACGTTAAAAAAAGCCATAGAAAAGAGCTTTTATTAAATATAAAAATGAAGGAACGCTATAATCGTTTAAACATTACAAAGAATATAACAGAATATGCAAAAAGGAAATAAAGACTGCAAAAATTGAAAACGAACAGCAGATTGCAAAACATAACAAGATCAACCCCAAAAAATGCTTTAAATAAATTAATAGTAAAAAGGCCTGGTCCGAGCATGTAGGCCCTTTATAAAATAATCTAGAGTGGGTGACTGGGGACAAAGAGAAGGCAAATTTATTAAATACCTTCTTCAGCTCTGTGTATACAAAGGAGCATGGGGGAGCTCTTGTCCATAATGGGCATGGTATTGACACAGCTCCAGATGATCCACATTGGCTGACAATTGATATGATCCAAAAATATTTAGACAGAATAAAGGTGAATAATGCCTATATTTAAAAAGGGGTCAAAATCTTTACCAAGTAATTATAAACCTGTTAATTTAACTTCTGTAGTTGGGAAGATACTGGAGAGTTTAATAAAAGACCACATAGATAAGTTCTTGCTGGAAAAAAATATTTTAAGCAACAGACAGCATGGATTCATGAAAGACAGAAGTTGTCATACAAATCTGATTTCTTTTTATAATGAGGTGAGCAAAACCTTGGACAGAGGGGTGGTGGTGGACGTGGTATACTTGGATTTTGCAAAAGCATCTGACACAGTTCCCCACACACGGCTAATGTGTAAGGTAAAGTCTACAGGCTTGGAAAAATCTTCATGTAAATGGATATTCAGAGAGTAGTGGTTAATGATTCATACTCTGCATGGTCTAGGGTTGTCAGTGGTGTATCCCAAGGTTCAGTGTTGGGACCCTTACTTTTTAATGTATTTATAAACAATATAGGGTCTGGGATTATAAATACAATTTCAGTCTTTGCAGATGACACCAAGCTGTGCAGTGGAATGACGTCCTTACAGGATGTCTTCAACTTACAAACCAACCTCAATGCACTGTTTAATTGGGCAACTATGTGGCAAATGAGGTTTAATGTTGATAAATCTAAGGTGATGCACTTGGGGGCTAAGAATATGCATGCATCATACATACTAGGGGGAGTACAACTGGGGGAATCAATGGGTGGAGAAGGATTTGGGAGTTCTGGTAGCACACAAGCTTAATAATAGCATGCGATGCCAAGCTGCGTTTTCTAAAGCGAGCAAAATCCTCTCTTGTATTAAAAGAGGTATAGACTCCAGAGAGAGAGATATAATTTTACCCCTGTACAAATCATTAGTAATACCTCATCTGGAATATGCAGCTCAATTTTGGGCACCAATTCACAAAATGAACACTGGGGAACTGGAGTAAGTACAGAGAAGGGCAACCAAACTGATAAGAGGCATGGAGGAGATCAGCTATGAGGAAAGATTAGAGGAACTGAATGTATTCTCTCTTGAGAAGAGGAGATGAAGGGGGGATATGATCAACATTTATAAATACATCAGTGGTTCATATAGTGAACTCGGTGTAGAGTTATTCACCTGAGGTCATCACAGAGGACAAGAGGACACGCTTTACATCTGGAGGAAAATAAATGTAATCTCCAAACACAGAAAGGTTTCTTCACAGTGAGAACTGTGAAAATGTGGAATAGACTCCCTCAAGAGTTGGTTTTGGCCAGCTCAGTGGTTTGCTTTAAATAAGACCTGGATTCTTTCTTGGATACACAGAATATAACTACTATTTATAGGTAAGGTTGATCCAGGGAATATCCAATTACCTCTCGGGGGATCAGAAAGGATTTTTTTTTTCCCTGCAGGAGCAAATTGGATCATGCTTTGCTGAGTTTTTTTGCCTTCATCTGGATCAACTGTGGGTGTAGGATTATAACTTTTTTTTTATGGTTGAACTGGATGGACTTTTGTCTTTTTTCAGCCAGACTAACTATGTAACTATGTAATTATATCAATTTAAAGGGACTCTGACACTTTTAAAATAAAGAGAACTGTTTGCAGGTATAAAGTGTAGCAGTGCTCATTCACACTCATAGCTCCTGTATGCCTGTTCAGAGCTGTTGGCGTTTGGCAGTAGCAGATGTGAAAAAAGCTGCTGCAGGTATGTGGCTGCACTTTATACCTGCTACCAGCTCTCCTTTATTTTTTTTATGTTATACCATATGGTCCCCTGCCATATGCTTTGGTTTCTCCTGCTACCTCCTAAATCACACACGATTTCTTCTGCGCTCTAGGACCCAGGCGGGTGGCAAATAGATGGAACCAGAACTGGAAAAAAGCGACCACCAGTGCATCAAAGGTTGTGCAGCTCCAAACAAGGCTGGGGAAGCCCGACCAACACTACAAAGCGAAACAAGAACGAGAAGCGCACAGACCTTGCGCATTACCTCAATAAACAAAAATTTATTAATAAGAAAAGGTACTCACAAACAGCGAATAAAATCAGGCATGTAAGTCCTCACAGGGCTTTTGAAGGCCATACCTTCTTCATCAGAGCTCTGATAAAGAAGGTATGGCCTTCGAAACGCGTCAGGTGAACTGAGTGTCTACCCCCACGATGGGACTCGCGCTGGCTCCTTATCTTTGAAGTCCCTGTGAGGACTTACATGCCTGATTTTATTCGCTGTTTGTGAGTACCTTTTCTTATTAATAAATTTTTGTTTATTGAGGTAAAGCGCAAGGTCTGTGCGCTTCTCGTTTTTGTTTCACCTCCTAAATCACAACAGGAAATAGGAGACAGTGGGGGGACCCCCATCACGCTGCAGAGGACCAAGGAACTGACACACCTGGAAGTGTTGGATACCTGAGGCAGCTGGAGATAGGCAACACAGTGGGGTTTTAGACACTAGCAGCTGGAATGGAAGGTATACAGACTCCGTGAACTTACTGAAAGAGCCTCTTTTATTGACGTTTTCATATACATATATATAATGACATGACAGCTTATGCTCACCCTGCAGGTACACTCAGAACAGGTTGGGTTGGAAAGATCAGGAACAGTTTGACTGTTAACCATTTCCACTCCATTATAAGAGCACCCTGAGAAAGGTCACATGAGAACACATGATATAAAAAAAATAGACACATACCTTCCCATTATACAGTACAACATTGCATTACTGAAAGTTTTTATATGAAGATAATAATATGGTACACTTGATATGAGTATGCATACACTGGAATGGTGGTCTATAAGTTCAGCTGATCCAAATACATGTATGCTTTCTCCATACAATTAGTAAATTTCACAACTATATAAGAAAAATTATGTTTATGCAAAAAGAGCATATGTAAAAATATCAGCCATTTCTCATGCACTTTAACAGAAAAGACAAACGGTATAATCAGACTGATATTGCAATGCACAGGGCACAAATATCCCAAAGAAATAAACGTTGCATGGGGGACCTAAAATATGAATCCTATCTAAGTGAAGACATCTGGGAAAAGAAATAGATTTTTGGGGTCATTCTGAACACTAACAGTTTGCAGAATGCCTGCAGGTTGCCATATTGCAAAGATATGATATTTAATTGTTTTAACAGTTTTACAAAACCTGTAAACTGAAATAAAAAAGTACAATTTAATAACAGAACCCTTGTATAGTGTTGTATAGTGTATGTGATATTCTGATCTTTTAAGCCACTGGTCTCTACACTGTGGCCTGCAAGTGAGATGCAGCCCTTTGATTGCCATTATCTGACCCTTGAGGCACTGTTCTTCGCACTGATGTGAGGCACCATTTCTTCCATTGATAGGCACTAAAACTAACAAAAGTCCCCATTTCTAATATTGACATCAGCAGTGGGTAACTTATGTATTAATAAACATATATACTAATGCTTGTGAATCTATTTGAATCCACTCAAAATAAACAATGTGCATAGGACAGTGATAAATGAACAATTATATGAAATAGAAAAATATTAAAAAAAATATATAAAATATATATATATTTATATATATAATATTAAATAATGTCCCAAAAAGTGACTTTGTGCTGTAAAAATCTTCAATAAATCGGTGACTGCTTGTGACTCTTCCCTTAAGTGAAGATATGCGCTCACCTCATAAATAGCCTGCAATTAGGCTATTATAGCTTGCGGTTCACCTCCTTTGGAACCTACTTGTTTAGGAACTCCTATTGTTAAGATATCCGTGGAATGTGACATGTGCTATGGAAAAATCTCCTCTCATATGGTGCCACTCCTCTGTCTTCCTGTCTCCATGCGGTTCTCCATAAAACAAAAAGATCCTGACATGGTGCTTTATCGTTTTTAAAAGCTTGACTTTAATTTGCTTTCAGGTGGCACTCACATATATTTGTATAGTGGTAGTACAATTGTTATTCCAGATTGCCGCTGACTGCCGGAGCTATGCGATCGTGGTCCGGCAAACGGACTAACTCCCTCCGAGTGACGTATACAGTCCCACCCCTACGCGTTACGCCACTGGTCACGTGGCTTCAAATCCCCCTGATGAAGCCACGTGACCAGTGGCGTAACGCGTAGGGGTGGGACTGTATACGTCACTCGGAGGGAGTTAGTCCGTTTGCCGGACCACGATCGCATAGCTCCGGCAGTCAGCGGCAATCTGGAATAACAATTGTACTACCACTATACGAATATATGTGTGAGTGCCACCTGAAAGCAAATTAAAGTCAAGCTTTTAAAAACGATAAAGCACCATGTCAGGATCTTTTTGTTTTATGGAGAACCGCATGGAGACAGGAAGACAGAGGAGTGGCACCATATGAGAGGAGATTTTTCCATAGCACATGTCACATTCCACGGATATCTTAACAATAGGAGTTCCTAAACAAGTAGGTTCCAAAGGAGGTGAACCGCAAGCTATAATAGCCTAATTGCAGGCTATTTATGAGGTGAGCGCATATCTTCACTTAAGGGAAGAGTCACAAGCAGTCACCGATTTATTGAAGATTTTTACAGCACAAAGTCACTTTTTGGGACATTATTTAATATTATATATATAAATATATATATATTTTATATATTTTTTTTTTTAATATTTTTCTATTTCATATAATTGTTCATTTATCACTGTCCTATGCACATTGTTTATTTTGAGTGGATTCAAATAGATTCACAAGCATTAGTATATATGTTTATTAATACACTATTTTTATATGTATTGATTGAAGGGTTGAGAGCGCAACACTATATTTATTTTTATTTTATGTTTTTCACATTGGTAGTTATGTGCTAGAGGTTAGCGATCCAACAATAGGAATTCATTTATCATTTGGCTCGCAAGATTTCTTTACAAAGTGGGTAACTTATGCTCCTACTGATACCAGTGATGCAACATTTTTCCTTTCACTGACATCAGAGATGGGGTACAATTCTTCCCACTGATTTAAACGATGGGGCACTATTCATCCTATTGACACCAATAATAGGACACTATTCCTCCAACTAATATCAATGATGGGGCACTATTCCTCCCACAGACACAAATTATAGGGCACTATTCCTCCAACTAATACCAATGATGAGGTACTATTTTTACAACTAATACCAACAATGGGGCACTATTCCTCCAACCAATACCAATGATGGGGCACTATTCCTCCTCCACCTGACCACAGGAGCTATGTCAAATATTTTACTCCCACTGACCACCAAATCTGAGACATTGTGTACTCTCACTGATGCTGGGGCATTTTGTACTCTCACTGGTCACAGTCCAGCCCTCTTAATGTATGAGGGACAGTAAATTGGCCTTTTAAATAAAAAGTTTGGAGACCCATGCTTTAAGCAATAGAAGGAAATCTAACAAGATCAGAAACATTACAGGTGCTTTGTCTATCAGTTCTAATCCTGTATATATGAAAGGAATGCATCAGATTTGGATTTGTTTCAAGTAAGGAGATAACAGGGGAACCAGATATCAGAAAGTTTACATATTTGTGCAAATCTCTAATTGCAGCAGCTGCTAATATTTTAATTGAATATTTGTTGTCCTACTATGCCCTTCTCAACCGGACATATTTAATATTTGAATCAAATATCTGTTGTCCTTCTATGACCTCCTCAGAAGGACATATTTAATATTTGAGTCACATATCTGTTGTCTTGCTATGCCCTCCTCGCAGCTTGTTATAAATAAAGGATTTTATAGCTTTGTTACTGATAGTCATTTATCTCCTTACATCTTCTAATGCTCAGTGGAATGTTCTGATTTGGATTCAGTGATGACCATGAGACATAGTTACCAAATAATATGATAGGTATTATACAGAGCTTTGTTCTCATAAAAAAATTAATTAAAGAAACTTAAACTGTTGAATGACAATGACAGAGATGTTTTATTCAGATTCTTAGGGGTTTATTTACTAAAGCTGGGGAGTGCAAAATCAGGCTCACCTCTGTATAGAAACCAATCAGCTTCTAACCTCGGCTTGTTCAATTAAGCTTTGGCAATTAAACCTGGAAGCTGATTGGTATCTATGCAGAAGTGAGCCTAATTTTGCACTCTCTGACTTTAGTAAATAAACCCCTTACTGTCATCTTTCTATTGGGGGTGAAGAAATGAAAGGAAACATGTTATTGATTGTAATGGTATTAAATATGCCTCGCATAAATGCACCTGAGCCTATGTGGTATTTTTCTTTTTCTTTCTATTTTTTTTTTTGTTATGAGAATGAAGTGGCCACCACATTTGGCCAATATAAAAAATGCATACCAGCATTCTTTATGATAGTACTATTTCAAATTAAACTGGTGGTACTAGTGGTAAAGGCTAGTGCATATTGGAAGGATGGTGGTCGGTCTGTTGGCTAGCAATTGGAGGAAAAGGGGAAAGGCCTCAGCTAATAAAATATCGGGATATCATTTGGGTGGGAGGTGAAAGATCAATTGGGGGTAGGGGCAATAGTTAACAGTCTGGTTTGATACCTTTGTGTTTATTGTACTATGGATTGTTGAGTATCATTAGGCAGAGTTTGCATGAAGAATTCCCATAAATTAAACATTATTTCCTCCTTAATACTTACCATCACATACAGGGCAGCATTTTCCTGAAGGAGTGCTAGGGTGAGAACAGCCAGGTTTATAGCAAGGCTTCTTACTACAAGTGACAAAGCCATCACCACAGACACATCGACTACATGAATCTTGGGGAGATGAAAATTCCTGCCCATTCAGGTAGACTTGGCCTAGGTACTGACAATCTGTGGAAAAAATAGCTCTCTCTGATTATATTTATCTCTCACAAAATGTTACACACAGTATTTACTGTTTCAATCATGTTATTATTAATATATACATATTTTTTTTTACAAAAGAACAGTAGTGATGCTTTTTCTTTTCACACAGTTTAAAAGCATAATGATTCACATGGTAACACTAAACTGTCAAACATCAGTTACAGGACAAATGTGTTATGCATAATTGTGTGAAATAAGAATAATGGTCAGTATAAACTAGAGATATACATTAAAGGAAAAGATATTAGAAAAACTCTCACCGAATGAAAACAGAACTAAAAGAAGAATAACAATAGAAAAAAAAATGATAAGTGGAACAGGGTGATAAAAGAGTGAAAAAAAAGCATGTGATCCTTTGGAACCCATCCCTATTATACACATGGCCGTATGGCCAGCTTGATTTTGTTTAACAGTATCCTTAATATTTTTTTATGAGTCATAATCCAAGAAAACCTCACATTGACCAGGTCAAAACTGATAGTAGCTACAGCTATCTAAACCACTAAATAAATGGACAGTGTTTGAGAAAGAAGCACAGTACCACCTGAATAATAACTTGTAGCCTGCTTCTACATCTAGTTTAGATGTTGACCAATATCTGAGAGGTAAGTGGGCTGTAGTAAACCATCTCTAGATTTTAGATCTCGTTCTCAGAGCCTATGCAGTCCAATTTCATGGACATGGAATATAATATGGCATATATGAATTGAAGATCTATTCTATCTTAATTCCCGTAGGCAGAGGATGCCATTGTTGTGATATTGACTGAACCATTGTCCTCCAAATTTAAGAAAAATGCAGTTTGACTATATCTGAGTTTTGGAAACGTAAACAGAAAGAATTCACTTTGCTGGACATTGTAGTTCAAGATGTAAATTCTCTGCTGGAAATCTCTGTGACCATTTGGCAACTGTTACCCATTCTTCACAGTAAAGGTAAGAGCTATTAAACTGTACCTGTGGGACATGTGAGCAATATCTGAACTGGACACAAATGTTTTGCTGAGTCCTGAAATTGAGGCAGGCCCAGGTAGATCTCTTATTACCCAATGTTCTCAAATTAATCATGTATGGGCAATGATTAGCTGGGTATACAGCTGGCTATTTTCAGCCAATTTCAACCACCTTCAAACTATGGCAGTTAGTAGAAAACAATTGAATTTTCCTCTCATTCAGTCATGGAAATTTTGATCCTACCTACTTGTGATCGATGGAAGCCAGCATTTTTTGTCTTTGACTTTCTTTGCAGTTTCGTCAAAGAATGGAATAGAGAGTTAAATCATTTAATCAAATAGTGATTTGTATGGCCATCTTAAGGCATCCAACAATTAAAAATACACTATATTGCTAAACGTATTGGGACACCCCTCCAAATTATTGGATCCAGGTGTTCCAATTACCTCCATGGTCACAGGTGTATAAAATCAAGCACCCATGCAAGCAGACTGCTTCTACAAACATTTGTGAAAGAATGGGTCGCTCTTAGGAGCTTAGTGAATTCAAGTGTGGTACCGTGACAGGTACCACAAAATGGTAGGCCACGTAAAATGACAAAGTGGGGTCAGTGCATGCTGAAGCACAAAGTGCGCAGAAGTTGTCAACTGTCTGCAGAGTCAATAGCTAAAGACCTCCAAACTTTGTGTGGCCTTCAGATTAGCACAACAACAGTGTGTAGAGAGCTTCATGGAATATGTTGCCATGGCCGAGCAGCTGCATCCAAGCCTTACATCACCAAGTGCAATGCAAAGCGTCGGATGCAGTGGTGGAAAGCACGCTGCCACTGGACTCTAGAGCAGTGGAGACATATTCTCTGAAGTGACAAATCACAATTCTCTGTCTGCAATACAATGAACGTGTCTGGGTTTGGTGGTTGCCAGGAGATCAGTACTTGCCTGACTGCATTCTGCCAAGTGTAAAATTTGGTGGAGGGAGGATTATGGTGTGGAATGGTTTTTCAGGGGTTGGGCTTGACCCCTTAGTTCCAGTGAAGGGGACTCTTAAGGCGTCAGCATACCAAGACATTTTTAGAATTTCATGCTCCCAACTTTGTGAGAACAGTTTGGGGATGGCCCCTTCCTGTTCCAACATGACTGCACACCAGTGCACAAAGCAAGGTCTATAAAGACATGGATGAGCGAGTTTAGGTGGAGGAACGTGCCTGGCTTGCACACAGTGCTGACCTCAACCCAATAGAACAATTTTGGGATGAATTAGAGCAGAGACTGTGAGCCAAACCTTCTTGTCCAACATCAGTGCCTGACCTCACAAATATGCTCCCGGTACAATGGTCAAACATTCCCATAGACACACTCCTAAGCCTTGTGGACAGTCTTCCCAGAAAAGTTGAAACTGTTATAGCAGCAAAGGGTGAACCAACTTAATATTGCATGTAAAGGCAGGCATCCCAATACTTTAGGCCAGCGTTTTTCAACCACTGTGCCGCGGCACACTAGTGTGCCGTGAGATATTGTCTGGTGTGCCGTGGGAAAAATTCCAATTTCATCTGTAACATGTGGCTTCGGCTCACAAATAGACCAATCATTAGAATCTAATGATTCAGTGGTCGGCAAGCCGCGGCTCGCGAGCCACATGCGGCTCTTTACCCAGTCTAATGCGGCTCTTCTGTGTGCCGGGCGCCTGCTCCCCTCCCTCCTCTCGGTCGGCCGCTCCCCTGCCTCCTCTCGGTTGGCAGCCCCAAAAGTCCGCGCGGACCTTTTAATCCGGCTTGCGGATGTGGCTGTCAGGATGTGTGTAGGCGGGGCAGCGTGCCGAACGTGAGGGGAGGGGAGCTAGGCTCCTCTCACAGTCCGCCCTGAAGACCCGAACGGCGCGGGAAGACAGCGAGAGGAACGCAAAAGGTAAGTGAATTGACACGGGGGACTTGGCTTACTAGAAGGGGGGGGGGGAATAGTACTGTGGGGGATGAAATACTATATGAGGGATGAATTACTTTATGAGGGATGAAATACTATATGGGGGGATGAAATACTATATGGGGGATGAATTACTATATCAGGGATGAATTACTATATGAGGGATGAAATACTATATGGGGGGATGAAATACTATATGGGGGGATGAAATACTATATGGGGGATGAATTACTATATGAGGGATGAAATACTATATGGGGGGATGAAATACTATATGAGGGATGAAATACTATATGGGGGATGAATTACTATATGAGGGATGAATTACTGTATGAGGGATGAAATACTATATGGGGGGATGAAATACTATATGAGGGATGAAATACTATATGAGGGGGGATGAAATACTATATGGGGGGATGAAATACTATATGGGGGATGAAATACTATATGAGGGATGAAATACTATATGAGGGATGAAATACTATATGAGGGATGAATTACTATATGAGGGATGAAATACTATATGGGGGGATGAAATACTATATGGGGGGATGAAATACTATATGGGGGGATGAAATACTATATGAGGGATGAATTACTATGGGGGATGAATTACTATATGGAGGATGAATTACTATATGGGGGATTAATTACTATGCTTACTATGGGGGAATATTACTATACTTACTATGGATGACACATACCATCATTCATCTACTCTTGGTCCGGCCCCCGGTCCAATTATAAAATACTTTATTATTTCATAATAAAGTAATTATAAAATAATTTCTTTGTGTTTGATTCCTATTCAAGAGAATTACTTTATATATAGTCAATATAGGCACAGAGGTAAATTTTTTTAACATTTTCTAATGGTGGTGTGCCTCGTGATTTTTTTCATGAAAAAAGTGTGCCTTTGCACAAAAAAGGTTGAAAAACACTGCTTTAGGCAATATAGTGTATATTAGAGACATTAAAGAAAGGCAGATAACAGAAAAAAAGAGTGGTGAAAATATGTGTTTTTATAGAAGAAAAAAGGCATCCAAATCAAATTACAGCAAGAATTAAGCGCAGTTTTACAAAATATGTAATATTATTCACCTTTGCATTCTTTGCAGCATTGTCCAGGGGCTGGATATGGACAATTAAGGACAGGGCAAGTTTTGGGTTGACAATTGATGCTACCTTCCCAGCAAACACACATTGTGCATGGATCTGAAGGCTGGGTGAACTGCTCACCATTAGCAAGTTCTTTTCCAGACAGAAGACAACCTGAAAAAAAGTTTATAAGGATCAATATATGACGCTATTGCATTCCTCGGTGTATGACATGATATGTAAGATATTTGTGGTTAATAAAAACATGATTTCAAGTATTGTCAGTGAGCAGATGTTTTAATACATTTTGTTTTAAAATGTTTCCTTTTGTACTAATATGAGCAAGATTACCAGAATCAGAACTCAACTAATTAAACTGAATGATCACTTTGCTAAGGTGATTTTAAACAATTATGTATTTTTTTAAATAACAAACATGTCATGCTCACTGCCTGTTCAATAATTCTGCACAGAGCAGCTCCGATCCTCTTCTTTTAGAATCCCTTGCTGGTTCTCCTGGTGCCTCCCCACTTCCACATATCCCTATAACAGTCTACTTGCTAAGGATACTGATGCAGGCTTGCTACTTAGCAGTGCTGTTGGCAACCACGGACAGAGAAATCAGGGCTTTGCCCTGGCCCACCCTCCCTGCCCCCTTGTCATAAGATTTAGTTGATAGAAACAGAAGCCAAAGGCTCCTGCTGCTATCAATCCACCCTGTAAGGAGGGAGAGAGCAGCTGCACTTGGGCACAGCGTTGGATCAAGATTGTGCTCAGGTAAGTATAAGGGAGGACTGGGGGGGATCCTGAACACAGAGAATGCATTACAGTAAAAAAACCTAAAAAACATTAAGGCTTTAGAACCAGTTTAAATAGAAACTCTAGGCAAAACAGCTAAATATACAGTTGAAATATATATATATACTATATATATATATAGTCCACGCTGCACAAGATATATGTAAGTGAAACGTAGTAAACCTAGTTCCTGATTAAGCAATTAATCTTCAAGTTTCAGCCTCCTATGTCACCTCTCAGCATCCGACCTTGTTAGGATGCATTAGCATCATCATGTTCAGTTGATCAGGCCCAGGAAGAAAGTGATTCTAAGATCCTAGAAAGGTAGATTACTTGAAGTACAAAGGTGACTGTGCAGTGCTTTGAGAACACAATATGGTCCTTCATCAACTCCTGAAGTCACTTTCATTATGTTATGTTGTATTTTTTCAGACAATAGATCTACAATTGTCTGGGGGCTTTCTAAAAGGTAATTTACTAGAGTAAATATATTTTCATATGCAAAACACCACCATGCAAAGCCCACGGCCCATTGCATTCCATGTAAACACTCCAAATCATGACCAAACATTCAAGTGTGTTTCCATCATAAGGAATATAAACCTGGTCTACTAAAAGACTTGTAAGAAATTGGTCTTGACATAAAGCAGCAAATGTAATTTTAAGATTTTTACTCTCAGTTCTGCCTTGTTCCTTATCCTGATCCACAAAATATACAATCAAATTGTGTGTTCACTGATGTTTAATTTATTTCCACAATTCAGAAACCAATGTATAGAGACCATTGTGTACATGCTACCATCATAAAAAATGTAATGTTACCATCACAGGAACGGCAGCAGTCTCCCTGAAGGGGATGTGTGCAAGGAGTTGGAGCACAAGGCTTCCGTTGACAGGTTACAGTGCCATTATTACAGATACAGTCTCGGCATTTGTCTGATGGATCATAGAAACGTTGCATGTGTCTGTATGTGATTCCAGAATATGGACAATCTGCTGGTGGCACTGAGAAAACAAAAATGAAGACACATACCCACTCATTTCAAAATAAACTCTACATCAGTTTTCCATTTGTATTGAGTTCTACAGTAGTGCAATGGGATGAAAAGAACTGAGCTGGCACTGCTTGTAGGGATCACTTAAAAGGGTTGTAAAACTTCTGAAATGGAAAATGAACAAAACCTACTGTATCCCTTTGTAGTGTGTACTTGCCTCAAACCAAAACACAGTGTGGTTCCTATCTGCTATCTCTGCTATGAGCATGAGTCACTTCTGACAGGTTATGCGGACACCACATAATCCTAGGGAACGGTCCCATACCCGCTTCCAAAACACAGAAGGTGATTGACAACCTTAGATGTGCATGTTTTCCTATTTGACTGTGTAGAGGTGGGTGTGTCCATTCCCTCCACTTAGGTCTCAGATTACACTCAGCTCTCTTATCTGTGCTGTGTTCTGTGTGATGTCAGATCCCCATTCTCTGCCTTCCAAGCCCAGAAATGTTGTATAAACTGTGTGCTTTAGGAGGCTGTGTATCGCCTGAGGCTAGTTTCTTCACTGGGTATATGTAAGGGTTTACAAACAATAGCTGGAATTCATATTACAGTGAACCCTCAGCCATCCTCCATGAACAGTATTACCTGGGCACTGAGGGCAGCATTCTCCTGGCACAGGGTATGGCTCACTGCAAGCAAGTGGAGGGCATCGTTTTGTTAGACACTGCACGTTACCATTCTGCAGACAGACACACAATTTTGTCATTTGTAATAATCATTTCATAAAAGAGAGAAAACACTGAGCCATCTACAAATATACAGAAAGAAAAAGGAAAACTGAATAGGAGACTGTGTATCTCTAAACTAAAAACAAAATATTGAAGGGAATGAAACTGGAAGCTAGGAGTATTTTGTCACTTTTTCAGTCTTTTTTTTACCAACCATTACCGGCAAGGGAAAGCTTCAGATAGAACCGATCCAGATTTGATACAAAGCTTTCAAAAGCAGAGGAGAGATCTGAGCTCTAATAGACCTGTCACTGCTTATTATTATCTTAAGGGATGTTTACATTCCTTGTGAGAAGAATAAAGGTGATCAAAAAGAATTTAAAGGGCCAGTGTAAAAATAACATTTTTAAAATAAAATAAATAATAATTTCTCAAAATGTTATCGTTCCGCGTCCCCCATGCAAAGGCTAACCCATATTTAGGTCGCGCACGCATATGTAAATGAGGTATCTTTGAGAAAGTTATAGCGAGAGCAATAATTCTAGCACCAGACCTCCTGTGTAACTGTAAACTGGTATTTTTAAGTTCTGTTGGCATAATTCCACGAGTGTGCACAATTTTAAAGCATGATATGTTTGGTATCTATTTACTTGGCGTAACATCATCTTTTATTTTTTTTACCAAACAATTGGGTATTACAGTGCATTGAAAAAAAGTATTCATACCCCTTGAAATTTTCCCATTTTGTCGGTACAACCAAAAACATAAATGTATTTTATTGGGATTTTATGTGATAGACCAACACAAAGTGGCATATAATTGTGAAGTGGAAGGAAAATGATAAAAGGTTTTCAAAGTTTGTTTACAAATAAATATATGAATAGTGTGGCATGCATTTGTATTTGTATTCAGCCCCCTTTACTCTGATACCCCTAACTAAAATCTAGTGGAACCAACTGCCTGCAGAAGTCACCTAATTAGTAAATAGAGTCCCCCTGTGTGTAATTTAATCTCAGTATAAATACAGCTGTTCTGTGAAGCTCTCAGAGGTTTGTTAAAGAACATTAGTGAACAAATAGCATCATGAAGGTCAAGGAACACACCAGACCGCTCAGGGATAAAGTTGTAAAGAAGTTTAAAGCAGGGTTAGGTTATAAAAAAATATCCCAAGCTTTCAACATCTCATGGAGCACTGTTCAATCCTTCATCCAAAAATGGAAAGAGTATGGCACAACTTCAAACCTACCAAGACATAGCCATCCACCTAAAGTGACAGGTCGGGCAAGAAGCGCATTAATTAGAGAAGCAGTCATGAGGCCCATGGTAACTCTGGAGGAGCTGAAGAGATCTACAGCTCAGGTGGGAGAATCTGTACACAGGACAACTACTAGTCGTGCACTTCACAAATCTGGCATTATGGAAGAGTGGCAAGAAGAAAGCCATTGTTGAAAGAAAGCCATAAGAAGTCCCATTTGCAGTTTGCGAGAAGCCATGTGGGGGACACAGCAAACATGTGGAAGAAGGTGCTCTGGTCAGATGAGACCAGAATTTAACTTTTTGGCTTAAAAGCAAAATGCTATGTGTGGCGGAAAACTAACACTGCACATCACCCTGAACACACCATCCCCACCGGGAAACATGGTGGTGGCAGCATCATGTTGTGGGCATGATTTTCTTCAGCAGGGACAGGGAAGCTGGTCAGAGTTGATGGGAAGATGGATGGAGCCAAATACAGGGCAATCTTAGAAGAAAACCTGTTAGAGTTTGCAAAAGACTTGAGACTGGGGTGGAGGTTCACCTTCCAGCAGCACAACAATCCTAAACATACAACCAGAGCTACAATGGAATGGTTTAGATCAAAACATATTCATGGGTTAGAATGGCCCAGTCAAAGTCCAGACCTAAATCCAACTGAGAATCTGTGGCAAGACTTGAAAATTGCTGTTCACAGACGCTCTCCATCCAATCTGACAGAGCTTGAGCTATTTTGCAAATAAAAATGGGCAAAAATTTTAGCCTCTAGATGTGCAAAGCTGGTAGAGACATACCCAAAAAGACTGTAATTGCAGCAAAAGGTGATTCTGCAAAGTATTGACTCAGGGGGGCTGAATGCAAATGTATGCCACACTTTTCAGATATTTATTTGTAAAAACTTTTGAAAACCATTTATCATTTTCTTTTCACTTTCCTTCCACTTCAACTATGTGCCACTTTGTGTTGGTCTAGCATATAAAATCCCAATAAAATACATTTACATTTTTACATTTACATTTTACATTTACAATGTGGAAAATTTTAAGGGGTATGAATACTTTTTCAAGGCACTATATATTGTGTTTTTGTGCATGAAAATTAATTAAAGCATATTTTTTAACCTAAATTGTGTATGAAAAACGCTGTTCAAATACCGTATGACATAAAAAATTGCAACACACCCACCATTTTATTCCCTAAGGGGCACCAAAAATGTAAACAAAAGTGTCAGAAAATGCCTGGTCCTAAAAAGGTTAATATCAAAATAATTACTATGGAAACATTACAGAAACAAGGGTCCAAATGTACCTACAAATACTGTATGGACTAGAGTACAATAACATCTATATTCACTCCTTAACCTTGACAGATATCCTCTGGCCAAGGCTTCTAGAGGAAACAATCAGCTTCACTGGATTTGCCTGGTCAATCACTATTTTCCCCCAAGTTAGGCTTGTTCTGGGGGATTTTTCTATATGTCCTTCCTTCAGGCAATTTAAACTTGCATGCTTGTGGAAAGATGTTTTGTATGAAAAGTGATCAGAATGTGCCTACATGTCAACCCCCTTTGCCAGTAGGCACCTTAAGTTAGTACTCACAATGCAGTGACACTGTCTGCACTTATCTGTGGGATGTGGAAAATCTGCACCATTGGGATATTCCTTTCCAGCGTAATTGCAACCTGTACAAGACAAGAAAAGCCACATAACAATCTAAAGTGAGTATCATGTCTTCTTTGTCAACACACCTAAAGCTGGGTACACATGGGCCGAAAATCATCAGAAAACGATCTGCTCAACAGGAATCGGCTGACTTTCGGCCTGTGTGTACAGCTCCTCGTCAACAGAAGCCAGTCTCATGACCAGCTTCTGATGAACAGAAAAACCATCATTCGATCATAATCAGTGTGTTCTGGCAGGGAGGTGGACCCCCTGTCAGAACACAATAACTCAGAGGGCAGATCACCGCACTAATATCGGATGTGTTAGTACGGTGACCTCCACGATTTTTCTCGTTCAGCTCACTGGGTTGAACTTCCTGTGTGTACCCAGCATAAGAACCTGTATTAAAGGGCTTTTCTTTGCTTTAATCAAATTTAATTCCATTCACACACCAAAGCTTGTCAACACAGGCCCTAACAATTTCCTTAGCAATTTCCTTTTTATTTAGTTAATTGCACTGCAATAAAACCAAATCATATTTATGAATGTTATACAGCTAATGGCATGTGCTTATCTCTTTACAGGCCTTTTTGTTGGCATATTTCCCAAGACAAACAAGACCTTATATAAAACATACATGTGTAGGGTTGCATGCTCTAAAGCTGTGGTTCTCAGCCACTGGGCTGTGGTCCCACTGCCAAGACGCTGACTCCCGTTTCCTTTGACTTTAGCCAACTGCAGATCCCTAACCTACCACAGTGACTTGTAGCTACCATAGTACCCCTCAACTTTCCACGGTGCCTCCCAGCCTGCTGTAGAGCTTTGAGCCCTTCATGGTTCTTTCAACCTCCAACAGTGTCACACTGTTCCCCACAGTGCTTCCCTGCCCCTCTAGAAACCTTATTCACAACAGGTCCACCAACTCAGCTGCAGAGTTTCCTAGCCCACTTCACAACCACCGCTCTTCTCTACAGTGTTATCCAGCCCAATCCAGAATCTTCCAACATTTCCATACTTTTTGGCTCCATGTGCACATGCTTAAATAAGCTGCTCCTAGAGGAGTTTAGCATTTTTCCTGTAGAGACAGGAAAGAAACCCTTCTGCTTTGTGTTTTTGAGAGCGTTTTTCTGGCAGAAGAAAATGCTAAACACTCCAAATAGCTGCTAAATGCACCTAAACACTAGTACAAAACAAAGCTTTTTTTTTTTTAAGAACCTTATTCTTCACTCTTTACTGTTGAAGCATGGAAGTTTTAAAATTTACTGGGCACTGGTCTGAAGAACATTGAGAACTACTGCTCTATAGCAAATAGAAGGTATACTTTTTTGACAGCTCCCCGGTACCCGAACAAAAATATAAAAAGTTTGTAAACAAATCGTTCACCTCCTCAAAAAAAATATTTGCCTCAGCTTTTGCCTCCAACACTTTCAGGAGGCATTGGGAATGTCACCGCACCTCCCAGAGAATGCACTCCAGTTCATTGCAAGTGTGCATTATCACCAGATTTGAGGTCCCAGATAACGTCACTTGAGTCAGAGGCTGAGCTAAGGTACGTTTTTTTCTCTGGTCAACCGTTTTGTTTACTAACAGCTTTTTATAGCCAATTGTGTTGGGGAACAGGGAGCTGGAAAAAAATGTTTTACCATGAAAGATCAAATTTAAGATTTTTGCACTGTAAAGAAGTAAGGAATTAAAATGTAAAACTAATGAGTTTGGATGGATCTCTGGAAAACAGCTTAGGTTAGGTCACTCACAGAACTATTTGAAAAGGTCCAGTTTTAAAGAATCTAAAGTGATGGACTGTTGCACAATGTTATACGCATTTCTGACCAATATCTATAGTACACAGGGGCGGACTGACCATTTGGAAACTTGGGCACTGCCCAAGGGCCGGGATCAGTAGGGGGCCCCATGAGATGCCCCTGGTACCTTTTTGATAGGCTTTTTTGAGTTTGGGCAAGGACTCAGGGGCCCCATGATCCCCTGTTGCCCGAGGGTTCCATGAGTTGTCAGTCCGTCCCTGATAGTACCCAGTGATTACTGACCTCCCAGCCACGATATACACCATTCTCACCATTACAGTTGTTGTTACAGCAGGTTCCTGGCAATGGATATGAACACTGTGGACCTGGGCACCCTCTGTCCGCACACGTCACATGCCCGTCCTGGCATCCACATTCCTGACACTGGTTATCTGGGTTTGTGAACTGTTGTCCATCCAAAAAGGTATCCTCATAGTATATGCAGTCTGAGCATTGTCACCAACAAGTTTACAAGGAAGAAATATACACAGAGTGTTAAAAATAAATAAAATTGACCACATGGCATATTTCTATTAACCAGTAAAACAGATGTCTTACCAGGGCATGTGGCACAGCAGTGGCCATGCTTTTTTTCTGGTCTAGTGCATGACACAGGTGGACATACAATGGGAGTACACTGGACTGTACCATCCTGTATACAAGTAAGTGTGTTAGAGATTTCCAATTTTATAACTTTCCACACACTTTAGGAATTATACACAATAATATAACTTTTGTAATTGATACATTTAACCTGTACAATCCTTTTTTAAGCTGAAGATGTAGCTACTATAGGTAATCCCCTGTACAGCAGCGCTCAGACTGGGAGAAGCAAGAGCAGCTCTAGGAGCCAATAAGCTGCAGCAGACATGAACTGGCAAGGAATATTTGACAGGAGGAGAGTATAGAGTGAACAGAGGATGGCAAATCACTGTGCTGCTGCCTATTCCAAGGCTGGGGCTCAGGACTTGACCTAGCTGTATTTCTTAACTGCAGCGGAGAAAAGTCAGATCAATTTTCCAGATTGGCTATATGGTTGGTAGGTCTGTGTATACTCAGAAAAAGCACTTGCACATGGTCTCACATCATGACATATAGCTGTAGAGAGTAAAATACGCCTGTTTGGTGGTCCCCAAAAGACAAGGCTGCAGCACAATTTTGCCTATTGATACACATTACAGAATATGCTGTGCAGCCGTACACCCTAATGTACAGCCATGTGCAAGAGCCCAAGTACAAATCCTTTTGCAGGTAAAGCACCTCCCTTACATGTGTTCCAGCAGAATATTTAGCTGTATGCCTGGAGTTCACCTTTAAAGACCCAAAACATTTTCTTAGTTCTAGACAAAGTGAATATAGGTTAGAATCACTTTCAGAGTCTTATTCATGTAGTGAGGGGAAGTAATGAAAAATTGTTGCTCCAATGTAGAAAAAAGACAGACAAAAGAAACCTCATGATTTTTGTGGTGTGGGGAAGGGTTAGAACCTCTGGCTGAATTTCTATTGCTCTCTGTGTCTTTCTATCCCAATGAAGACCATTCCTCTCATTTCTGAAATCATGGGGTCAGAAAGTGAGTCAAGATCGCACCAAAACAATCCAAAACAGCAAAACAAATTTAAAAAACTGAAAACGGGACAATGACCAGCACATTCAAGTTTCCACAAAGTCATTTTTACAACAGAGAGGCATGTCAAGCTTAAATGATTAAAATTACTACCCAGTAACTTGGATGCTCTGGCCATTCTCATTTTCTCTAACCTGTTGTGGTACCACCACCATGCACGCTGCCTGTTTTAAGCCTAGGATGTACAGTATATGTGTGGGGCAAATTTATTCTTTGTTCTAAAATAAAAACATTACAGTAGTTTGAACCTTTGCCTGCTCTATCCCATACAAATAATAGTTAAAAATCCAATAAAGTATCAAGTTTAAATGACCTACCAATATATGTTTTGATTTATAAATTATAATTTAATGTATGTAGAAGAGAAACTGGACATATAAATGTTGTTTTTTTTTTTGCATTTTCTCAATTTAATGTAGAATTTTGTTTTAAGCGTAGGATGCGTGCAATGTAAATGTTTGGATAGTAAAATAACACATGGACATACGAACATTATTTCCGAGCTGCATCTTCAGCGCACAGTACATGTGGGAGGAAATATTTTGTTTAATGTTTGAGAAACTATAAACCACTGAAACATAGTTTTAGGATCATGTAACTTTGTGTCGGCCATTTAAATTGTATAGATGATTGAAGTTTTTTTATGATTTAGTTTTCAGATAATGCACATCCTATGATTTGTTAACAGATAATTCATTACATTTGGCAGTAATAAGCTTTTAATATACTGTGAATATCGTTGTAATGTCTAAATTTTAATCTGTCCTGTGTTCATTAGTGGTTGAAATAGAAGTTTAGCTTCTGAATTGCTTTAAAGTGATATCCTTATGTAAATTATATCCTCATTCTCTAAAAATAACCAAGGCACAACCATTACTTAGTGGCCCTGTAATCCATTTTTCATGAAATAGTTTCTCACAGTTTTCCTACTCCTTGTATTGTGCTCCATGAGTTCTGAACCTCTCCTTTTCTGCACATTATTTGCAGTCATGTCAGCAAGAGAGGGTGGCTACGCTCCTACATACAGTGGGACCATGGAGATAGGACGTAGCCACCCTCAAACAGGAAGTGAAATCACAGCAGCAAAAAAAGAAATATATAAATTTGTAGGAGGCTGATAGCAATAGAAGAAACTTTTTTGAGTTAAGAATACATACATGAATATTTTTTTAACTAGAGTTTACTGTCATTTTAACTATTGCACCTACAAACAATAACAGACAGATATTATGGATGCTAAGAAATAAAAATACAATTTTACAAAGCCATTAGAGTACACACTACACATCTAACTAAAGTTAATTCTGTTCATTTATTACAAGAGTGAAGTAGCTATAATGTTGCTGTGCATTCTCACCTGGCAGCGGCAGCTCTGACAGGGATTGTCAGGGTCAGTAAAGTCCTGGTCATTGCTATATAAACGTTGATTGTAGGTACAGGTGTCACACACTGGGCAGCACTCACCTAAGATATCAGAAAGCACATTTATCACTTCACAATGTGTTTAGCCTAATCATATGCCTATAATATGATTGCAGCATGTACAGTTATTTTTAAAGGTCTAAGTTACTTTAGTGGTTCTACAATCAACTCATTTTGTACAAAACCTGCCACTCCTACAATACTAAAACCGGTGCACAAAATCTGGAGCAGCCATGCATAGTAATAATTTAGTTCCTAACTTCAGCTTGTTCAGCTTACTGCTTGTCCGCTGCCCTATAGCAGAAATACTGCTACAGGGCGGCACTAAGTCATGTCTATATACATGATTTTGCATTTCCGGGTAGGGGGCATGCGTGCCTTAACCATGCCACCATTGGCGGCTTCAGCTGTCAATCACTGGGTCCCAGCCGGTGATTCCCCACAGGCACCTGGCGATTGCCGAATTTCACTGACAGCGAAGAGGTCTGTATGTAAATAATACAGATCTCTCCCCTGTCAGCTCCAGCACGCTGCTTTGTATTGCTCTGTTAACCCTTTGATCGCCCCAGATGTTAACCCCTCCCTGCCCAGTGGCATTAGTAGAGTGTCAGTGGTTTTTATTAGCACTGGTCACTGTATTAGAGTCACTGCGGATGTCAGTGACAGTTAGTCAGCCCCCCCCAGTGTCAAAATGCCCGCCGCAGTCCTGCTATAAGTCGCTGATCACCACCAATACTAGTATAGAAAAAAAATTCCAGTATATATCCTGCCATTTGTAGACGCTATAACTTTCACGTAAACCAATTAATTTACACGTACTGGAATTTTTTTCAGCAAAGACATGTAGCAGAATACATTTTAGCCTGAATTTATAACAAAATTTGATTTTTACCTTTTTTTACTGGGCATGTTTAATAGCAAAAAGTCGAAAATATTGTTTTTTTTCTCAAAATTGTCGGTTTTTTTTTGTTTATAGCACAAAAAGTAAAAAATGCAGAGACGATCAAATACCACAGAAAGAAAGCTCCATTTGTGGGAAAAAAGGACATAAATTTCATTTGGGTGCAGCATTGCATAACCGCGCAATTGTCAGTTAAAGTAATGCAGCGAAAAATCACAAAAAAATGGCCTGTTCAGGAAGGGGGGTAAATCCTCTGGAGGGCAAGTGGTTAAGCTTTGCCAATAAAACATAGAATCTGATTGGCTACCATGCACAGCTGCACCAGATTCTGTGTGTACCCGTTCTTATAAATCTCCACCTATGTGGGATACAGTAAAGGAACCTGTAGGGTTTATTGGTATACAATTATTAGCTATTTATACTTCATACATGCAGCTACATGCAAAGGTATACAATGCAATATGCACAGACTACGGTGTACCTGTTCTTCTTACCTTCATTGTGGGTGGGATGAAGACAAGACATGGGGGGGCATTGACTGACTCCACATACAGTATCACCATTCAGACAAGCACAGGTGCTGCATGGATCCCCTTCAGGCTCCCACTCAACCCCTTCCAAGAATTCAAGACCGTCCTGTACACATACTAAAAAGAGATACTGAAATGAGAACAGGTATAATAAAAGAGAAGTGAAACAGATACAAGGAAGAGGACTTATATGTCAAAGTAATTAATTCAACACAGTTGAAACCTGCACAATATGTTATAACAGACTTCACTAAGAGTTAATAAAGAGTATTGGAAAGATTTGAGCCCTTCTTCCATCAGTCTCACCTTTACAGACTGGACAACATTTATTGGGTTCTCTCACTGGGTTTGGGCAGGACACAGGTGGGCAGCTTTCCTCAGCACAGCGGACATTGCCTTTCTACAATACAAAGGATTATTTCAGAAAACTGTGTCAAAATAATCCCAACAATTTGCATATATTCATGCTTCATACCCTCACTGATGCCATATTTGTTTATATATGTCTGCACTGAAGCCTATGAGTATATATTAGATATAGTTTATTATATATAAAATATATATTAATTTTGTTCAGAAGCCTCTGTTGAATATTTATGACATGTATATCACTATCAGGGATTCCTTGCCTTTCTCCTATTTTTATCTAGAGCTTAATCATCAAATGATGGGAGATTAAAATCCCTTTCATGCATAATCTCCTGGTTGAGTTAAGAATATTCAATGAACTGACCGCTATCTATAAGCATAACCTTTGGCATATCGTTCAGGTGCAAAGTGCTATCTATCTATGGCTATTTTCCACCATTTTATCTTCCTTTTTAGGTCACAATGTGAAGAAGCTAAGCCAAGGTAGATGACTTCATGATTTGTCTGATCCTGGTACCAGGAAACACGGCTTTCAGAGCTTTTCTGCACATGTGATCATCAAAGATAAAGTGCATTCTTTCTTAACTTCAAAAAAAAGCTTATTTGTGTCTTTGTCTATGCACTACTATGTGCATGATTTGTTACATGTTTGGCAAAAATTAAAAAAATATGGTCCAGAACAAATATGATGAGATGAGAGAGTCACATACAGTTGTGTTCAAAATAATAGCAATGTGATGAAAAAAGTGAATAAAGCTCAAATCCTTCTAATAGATTTTATTTCCATACACACAAATGCATTGGGAACACTATACATTCTATTCCAAATCAAAACATGAAAAAAAATATATCAAATTTGTGTTGTTCCTCTAAAAAAATTTAAATAAAGTAAATATTAGACTGTTCAAAAAAATTGCAGTGTTTGTATTCTTCTTTACAAACTCAAACATTCACTATATAAACTGAAAAATGTTTGAAGATTTTGCTTTCCTTTGAATCACTTAATGAATATTTAGTTGTATAAGCACTGTTTCTGAGAACTGCTGTACATCTGTGTTGCATGGAGTCAACCAACTTCTGGCACCTGTGAACCTATTCCAGCCCAGGATGATTGGACTACATTCCACAGTTCTTCTCTATTTCTTGGTTTTGCCTCAGAAACTGCATTTTTGATGTCACCCCACAAGTTTTCTATTGGATTAAGAGCCGGGGATTGGGCTGGCCACTCCATAACGTCAATCGTGTTGGTCTGGAACCAAGATGTTGTACGTTTACTGGTGTGTTTGGGGTCGTTGTCTTGTTGGAACACCCATTTCAAGGGCATTTCCTCTTCAGCATAAGGCAGCATGACCCCTTCAAGTATTCTGATGTATTCAAACTGATCCATGATCCCTGTTATGCGATAAACAGGCCCAACACCGTAGTATGAGAAACATCCCCATATCATGATGCTTGCACCACCATGCTTCACTGTCTTCAAAGTGTACTGTGGCTTGAATTCAGTGTTTGGGGGTCGTCTGACAAACTGTCTCCGCCACTAGACCCAAAAAGAACAATCTTACTTTCATCAGTCCACAAAATGTTGAGCCATTTCTCTTTAGGCCAGTCAATGTGCTCTTTGGCAAATTGTAACCTCTTCAGCGCATGTTCTTTTTTTCAACAGTGGGACTTTGCGGGGGCTTCTTGCAGATAGCTTGGCTTCACATAGGCTTCTTCTAATTGTAACAGTACTCATTGGTAACTTTAGACCTTCTTTGATCTTCCTGGAGCTGATTGTTGGCTGAGTCCTTGACATTTTGGCTATTCTTCTATCCATTCGAATGGCAGTTTTTTTGCTTTCTTTCCACGTCTTTCAGGTTTTGGTTGCCATTTTAAAGCATTTGCAATCATTTTAGCTGAGCAGCCTATCATTTTGTGCACTTCTGTATATGTTTTCCCCTCTCTAATCAACTTTTTAATCAAGGTACGCTGTTCTGAACAATGTCTGGAACAACCCATTTTCCTCAGAATTTCAGAGAGAAATGCACTGTAACCAGCATGTACAACATTTGCTGCCTTCCTTCCTTAAATAAGGGCAATAATTGCCACCTGTTTTTCAAAGAATGAGTGACCTCACTAATAGAACTCCACACTGCTATTATTTTGAACATGCCCCTTTCAATTATTGATTCAATTACACAGAATCAGCAGCATGCATGTCATGACTGTTGGGTCTGTTGGATTTCTATTACTCTACTACACCTGCTAGTAAATTATTTGCCTTGTAGAAATATCATTTCTACCAAAAACAGTGATTGATCAGGTTAGTGACGTCTGACTGCTATTATTTTGAACACAACTATATATATATAAATACTTCTTTAGCTTGTTCTTCAAACTTCAGTAATACATGTCAGTAGTAAATAGCCTGATCTGGTCCACATATATAGCAGCTCTCCAATGAGAGAATATTTGTCCTAAAGTTTTTTTGTTTGTTCAGTCGGTGAATGAAGGTGGATGGGGGAATTGTATTCTGACAGCAGATTCCATTGCTGTCAAAATATACTGATTGTTTTCAAACATACTCCTTCCACAGAAGTTGATGAATAATCGACTTCTGCTCACTGGAGATGGCCACACAATGATAGGAATTTGGCCACTCCCTGTTGAACCCAATGAATTTTGATCAGTGTACGGTCAGCTTAAAGTGACACTAAAAGATATCCTTATTCTCCAAAAATAATCCATACACATACATTATTAACCCTGTAATCTATTTTTCATGAAATAATTTCTTACTGTGCTTTTCTGCCTCCTTGTAATGTCCTCTGTGAGCTCAAAACTTCCCAAACCTTTGTTTGAAATAAGCTATGCATGTTAGTTGTGATTATATGCACTGCTCTATGCACACTACACACCTCATAGTCCCTACTCAATTTTAGGAGTGAGCAAGAGAAGATGGATACATTCCTAACTACAGTGGGACCATAGAGAATGAACATAACATAGGCACCCTCTAACAGGAAATTGGATCACAGCAGCAAAACAAAGGAATTGGGAGATTTGGAGGAGGACAAGATCAATAAAAGGTACTTTTTGAGTTAGGAATACATACTTAAATAGAATGTTTTCTTTTTAGTTTCACTTTTAGAGTTTAATGCCACTTTAAATGTGATCCATGGTCATCCTCAGAAATACAGCTCTATACTGTCATGTGTAAAGATAAAACTACATTGGAGCTATCATTTTAGTGCACGTTGTCTTTGATAATGATAATGTTAAACAGGAGTCTTAAAGGGAAGGCATTAGAAGATACTATGGGGTCATTTGTACACATTACAACAAAAAGGTGTTGTGGAGATGTCTAAAGCAGCTAACCAGATTTTTTATATATAAGTTCTATTATGTTATTGAATGATGTGAAGGTTTCATACAACCAGATAACAAGCACTGCATTCTTACCGTACAGCTACAACGAAGACATGGTCCATGTCCAGAAGGTTGGAATGTCTGTCCATCAGTATATACGGTACGCTCAAAATCACACACTGCATAAAGAAAATTATGAACAAGCTACACAAGTAACCCAAGCAGTAAGAATTGATCCTTACTCAACCTTATTTCATTATTTTGATTTTGCATCCACTAATAACTCAAACCTTGCACTGCTCTTCACCCAAGCTTTCTTTGAATGTTTCTTTACTAACACGTGACTAGTTAATAAAGTGATACATTTTCCTTTTTCTTTGAAAGTGTTTTACCTTCACAGCTTGGGCAGCACTGTCCTTTGACTTTGCCTGGGTGACTACATTTTGTAGGAGGACATCGTCTATCCAAGTGATCACAGGAAACTTCCCCTGCCTAAACAAGAAAAAGCAATGAATGTTTGCTCAGAGCTTTTAGTTTAAGGACCAGACCCATACTAATGATGTTATCTACTCACTGAACATGTACAGCTGAGACAGGGGTCATGAGCAGCAGTGAACACATCACCTTCAGCATATGACTTGGAATCAAACTCGCATCCCTCACATCTAACAAGAAAAGGGGTATTGAGAAAACTGGCACAATTACAGAAAAAAGGAATAGAATGAATATTCAGTTAAAGACAGGAAGCATATAATGAACTTGCCAGAACTGTAGAAGTTTTAATAGTATCTCAACCTTTAAAGAACACACACACAAGGCAACCACTGAACAATCCAGAAAACAATCATTAACCTATAGAAAGCCTGAGACTTCTGAAGATTCACCCTGGTTAACCAATATCAGGGGAAAAATATATTATCTAGGAAGGATTCTCTCAGCCAATCAATCCTGCTCCTGTGAGATAAAGCCAGCAGGCTGAGGGTCATCTAAGTGCATTAATAGGCACATTCAGTCAATACGAGTGTGTATGCTTATGCTAAGATCATCTCACAATCAGTTAGCAGCCATATCTTCATTTACTTCATTCCTTTGACCAACTGGTCCATTTTACATAGAGCGCTGCAAGGTACTTCTGTATGGCTGTATAAGGATTCTGATGTCTGCTTGTGGTGTAAATAAAAGAAGTAGGAACATGAGCTACAGTCCTGAATGAGATGGAGTAAGCAAATGGAAAAATTGCTTAAAACAACTTAGGTTAGCTGGTAAGAGGTTCCAGAAGGAGTCAATACTTATCCTCTCTGTTAGCCCTTGCTGCCCCAATCTACCACTGCAGCGCTCAGAAACTCCCGCTCAAATTTCAACTTTCACAAAACCCAGGTTCACTTTTGACTTGTTGGCCCCAGGAGGCTGAGGATAGCCTGGGAAAATACTCAAAATAATTGTTGAAAACAAAGCTACAATAAACTAGAACAGCCTACCTTGCACAGCATTCTCCTGGCTTCCGCACAGGGTTTCTGCATGGTGTTGGGCTACATGGTATAGGGCTACACTGGACATTTCCATTCTATAAGACAGGAGATGGACAAAAATCACTTAAATTTACTAAATAAACACATCTGTAATTAAGGCAAACCCTTCAGCACTTTGAAAGGCTTCTTCTGGATTACAGGAACCCTCCAGTGCCTTAATTTACCTTAACATTGATACCATGTTGCTTCTGTGCATTACAGGGGTCCTCTGAAGATCCTAAGTAAACATTTACATTCTGAAATTTGGTATATGTATCCAGTTTGGCTGGCCCACATGACAATACTTAGGCACTGAGAGAGGAAGAGGATATGTGCTGGTCACCCCATATCTGGAAGTTTGGGGATTTCAGGGGACTGCTAGGGAGCATTAGGGAAGTATAGAAATACTAATATTTTGCACAGTAGGGGCTTTCTTTTAAATTACTTTCATTTATTCCAGTGGTTTAAACAAATAATTCATGATCAGATTTGTAATTTATCCTCGGCCGGGCCCTGTGCTCACTGCCCGGCCAGGGGCGGACTGACCATTTGGAAACTCGGGCACTGCCCGAGGGCCTGGGGTCAGTAGGGGGCCCCATGAGATGCCCCTGGTACCTTTTTCATAGGCTTTTTTGAGTTTGGGCAAGGACACAGGGGCCCCATGATCCCCTATTGCCTGGGGGCCCCATGAGTTGTCAGTCCGCCCCGCACCACAGAGCTCAACTGGCATTTGCTATTGAACACCAGAATTGGATGGTTCGTCACTGGCGCCTTGTGCTTTTCACAGATGAGAGCAGGTTCACCCTGAGCACATGTGACAGATGTGAAAGGGTCTGGAGAAGCCGTAGAGAATGTTATGCTGTCTGTAACATCATTCAGCATGACCATTTTGGTGGTGGGTCAGTGATGGTCTGGGGAGGCATATCCGTGGAAGGACACACAGACCTCTACAGGCTAGAAAATGGAACCCTGACTGCCATTAGGTATCAGGATGAAATCCTTGGATTCATTGTCAGACCCTATGCTGGTGCAGTGGGTCCTGGGTTCCTCCTGGTGCACGACAATGCCCGGCCTCATGTGGTGAGAGTATGCAGGCAGTTCCTAGAGGATGAAGGAATTGATGCCATTGAATGGCCCCCCACGCTTGCCTGACCTAAATCCAAAAGAACACCTCTGGGATATCATGTTTCGGTCCATCTGATGCCGCCAGGTTGCACCTTAGACTGTCCAGGAGCTCAGAGATGCCCTGGTCCAGATCTGGGAGGAAATACCCCAGGACACCATCCATTGTCTCATTAGGATCATGCCCCAAAGTTGTCAGGCATGCATAAAAGCACGTGGGGGCCATGCAAACTACTCAGTACCATTTTGAGTTGCGGCAATGAAATTTCAGCAAAATGGACTAGCCTGTTGCATCATTTTTTCACTTTGATTTTTGGGGTGTTTTAGAATTTAGGCCTCTGTAGGATGATAATTTTCATTTCCATCAAACAATGGAGCATCCTTACATTCCTAACACGTTACTCAGTCCATATCAGTATAGATATCCAGCATGATATTTTTCCCCATTGAGATTTGATGTGTTTTCAAAGTGTTCCTTTAATTTTTTTGAGCATTGCAGTTCTTACTAAAAAAAATACATAGGACCAGAACATGAAAATAAATTCTAATTCAATTAGAAATAAAGTATAAAATTCACCTCACATAAGCAGCGTGTACAAGAGTCAGAGCTTCTCACGGATTGTCCATTCTGATATGTGCGACCATTAAATGAACATCCTATAAGAAAAACAGAGAACTAAGATGGCACAGCAAAGCAGCGTCATGAAAGAAAAATGACATGAATGACAGGATTTCCTGTGTAAAACTCTATTGAAAGATATAATATTTTCCACTCACATTACAGACCATAAACAGTAAAAATGGAGCTTATTTATGAGAATTGAAGCAATAAACCAGAGCAAAAATTGATCTGTTGCCAAGAGTTAGCAGTTAGGTTTCATTTTTCAGTCTCTGAAACTTTGAAGAAAGTCGGTGACTCTGCAAAAAAAACATCACTCGTCTTTTTCTAGAATTTCTGAAAATTAAAAATTTGAGCAAAAACTGAACTGTTACTTGTAGGTTGGTTTCTTCTTTCAGTTTCTAGAAATATTTAAAAAAAAAGGTTCTGAATAGTTGCAATGGGAAACAGCTCCTTTGATGCTAAAATATATTATAAATCATTATGTATAATGCACATTTAATGCTGGTATTGATGGGACACCAATGTGCCTTTAATGATGGCTAAAATCTTATTGCTAACTGTGTATATTGGGGTTGTTTTACTAAAGGAAAATATGCTGTTCACTTTGCCCAGGAATTTGTACTTTGCAAGGGAATTTTCACCGATGCTCTGCTAATTTCCATTGTCCAATCATGTGAAAGCAAACTATTGCATTTTTCTTGCATAGGATAGGGTATTCTCTGCAAAGTGAATTTACACTGCATTCATTAAAGTATATCTACGGTATGTCAAAACTTTAAATCATAAATTAATTTCCACATTATATTTCAGTTATTTCTAGCCTACTCCTGTTACTCTTACCCACTTGACCTCCGGAAGGTTTTACCCACTTCATGACAGGGCATTTTTTGCTATTCAGCATTGTGTTACTTTAACTGGCAATTGCTCAGTCATGCAACACTGTGCTCTAAATTAAATTTATATCATTTTTTTCACACAGATAGAGCTTTCTTTTGGTGGTATTTAATCACCACTGCGTTTTTTTTTTTAATTTGCATTTTATATATATATATATATATATATATATATGAAAAAAAGCAAACATTTTGAATAAAACCCACATTTTTTTTATAAAATTTTGCAATCAAATATATTTTCTTAATATAAGCCAAGATTTAGTCTGCTACATTTCTTTGGTAAAAATAACCCAGATCAGTGTATATTATTTAGTCTATGTAAAAGTTATAGAGTCTACGAACTGTGGTTTATATACTGGAAAATCGATCAGTCTAGATGTATTGACATCTCATTTCTTGGAGCCCTAAAATGCCAGGATAGAACAAATACCTCTCAAATGACCCATTTTTTAAACGTAGACAGTCCAAGTTATTTAGTAAGAGGCATGGTGAGTTTTTTCGTGTGTAATTTTTTTGTCACAATCTTTTTGGAAAATAAAGAAATTACATTTTTTTTTTCACAAATTCTTTTCTTTACATACTTTCACCAGTGCACTAGAGTGTCATTATATGGCTGGTGTGGTGGTGATCAGGAATACTGAATAGTGACAGTATTTAAAAAAAAATAATTATAATTTTTATTCAATTCTTAAAGTTTTTTCTTTTTTTAATATTTTTTTTACATCCTGTCATAAGAGTAGCTCAGTGTCACTATAGTGACACTGTACTACTCTGGAGGGGTGATCGGGGATTTTTTGGTCTTCATTCATGACAGCTTACTTACTATTGTGATGCTGTGATTGGCTACAGCTAATCACATGGTACAGGGTGCCAGGTACCACGTGATAGCTGTGGGCCAATCACAGCTTCACAACAGTAAGCAAGCTGTCATGAATGGAAACCGTTCATGACAGTATTGTTTACATTTTAATCATGTTGATCACCATGTTCGACACAACAGTCACAGGTTTCCACTGCTAAACTCCCCAGTGGGCATGCCAGTGCGCATGTACAGAGCAACATACAGGTTTGTCGCTGAGGCTGTAGTTGCCACCCAATAGCAGTAAATCTACTGTTAGCGGGTGGCAAGTGTTAATTGATCTTGAGGTTTGTTTGTGAAGATTCCAATGCATAGGTGTAGCATCAGGGGTCGCAACAGTGACCCAGCCCATGCTCCAGGCCATGCGGCCTCCCACTCACCCATAGAGCAGAGTGCCTGTCCGCGGGCAGTGGTATGAAAGGAATGTGACAGGACAGACCGTGCACCCAGCACACAGGTGTCAGGCAGGATGGGTCTGACTAGAGAATGAATGATACCCAACTGCTGGAGCAAGTGGTACATGGATCATCTTCTCCCCCGCTGCATTCCAACACCTCCTCCCTGTCCATGCCCCTCTGCAAACTTACCACGCACTCCATCTCTACCAGAAAGTCACCTCCCTCTTCTCTTGTTGCCCCTCCCCCAATCTGCTGTCACGGGGGTAATCTGATGTCTTGGGGGTAATGTCGTCCAGCTGGATCTGGTCTGGGTGCTATAGTGACAGCTCATCAAGTGAGAGGATGTGAGAGCAGAACATAGAGGGAGGAGGGGGGATGTGGAAGATGCTAAGAACATTCTACAATCCAGGGCACAGGGCTGGGAGACTCCTGCACATTGAGGGGGAGAGTTCTGGACTTGCTGAGACGTGTAGTGTGCAGGCAGCAGAGGAACTCCTGTGTGTGTGACATGAAATGACCCCAACACTGGCGTAGTGTCAGGGGTCACAATAGGGAACCCATCCATGCTCCAGGGGGCCCGTGCAGCCTCCCTGTTATATTTTACACTTGGACAGAAGGGCGAGGGGGGCGTCATATACAGTTACCAATTTTCTGTATTTTCCTCCTGCAGCTGCTGAAAGCCGGCTTCTCCTCCTCTCCCTCCCACTGGCATTCAGCATTGGAAGGAGGAAAATACAAGAAATTGGTAACTGCATATGCCTCCCCCCAATGCCCCTCTTGTACAAGTTTCTTCTGCCCAGGCCCCCGTGTGCTCCCTTGTCCCCCCTTCCCCCATGCAGCATTGCCAACTTCCCTCCTCTCCACTCCCATCGGCTTCTGCTTTCAGGATGGAAAGTGGGGGAATATATCATATTTCCAGGCCCTTATTTTCCTGAATGGACACAGTAAGCGTTTGGTATTGCTCCTGTGTCTATTCAAAACTGAAGAATAGTAAACCGTGTTTACTATGCTTTGGTTTGTGAGTGAACGAGAAGCTTCTAAGCACTCATTCATCTGTGCAGCTGAGGCTGCAGAGATGGATGCTGAGCACTGTGTCCTCAATCTCCTTTCTGTCTCAAAAGTGAGACATCAGAGGTTTATTAAGACCCCTTATATTTCACCCAAGACCCCCAACAGGGCTGCTAAAGAAAATGATAAAACGCAATAAAAAAATGAACCTGTAAAAGAAATAAATAAAATAGTAAAAAAATAATGAAAAAAATAAAATAACAAAAATAAAAAACTACTGACACTGCCCACTGCTGTACTGATATCATCCACTGCTCTTCTGACATTATCCACTGCCCTGCTGACACTATCCACTGCCCTACTGATGTCATCCACTGCCCTACTGATGTCACCCACTGCCCTACTGATGTCATCTACTGCCCTACTGACACCACACCATCCACTGCCCTACCACCAACTTCTGCCCTACTGACACTATCCACTGCCCTACTGATGTCATCCACTGCCCTACTTTCATCATCTACTGCCCTACTCACACCACACACCATCCACTGCCCTACCACCAACGTCTACCCTACTGACACTGTCCTCTGCCCTACTGACTGACTGACTGTCCCTTTTTAGTTTAGTGTAAGTTTATATTTTTATAGTGACATTTGTTTTATTACATATTTCTACGTTTTCCTTACTATTTACAGACGTTAGTCCTGGCTAGTTAATTTCTTAAAAAAAGGGTGCCGAACCCTGAAATCTTTGATCTTGTTTTTCAGGTTGTCCTCTTCTCCTCAAAGGTTGCCTATCCCTGTTCCAGAGTATTCAAGAGAATCAGAGGGGTACAGTATGTCAAAATGTGGACTGTTTCCCTGAAATCTTTTGAATAACCCTCGCAATATGCAAATAAAGATCTGAAATAACTCTTTAGGCTCTTGGTGTCTCTTGGCACGCAGATTAAGCTGTGGGTGGTAGTGGGGGGCCCCAGGTCAACTTTTGCATCAGGGCCCACAAGCCTCAAGCTACGCCTTGCCATTTACTTGTCTGAATTCTGTGACATGTATTCACTGTGTTTGGAGAATAGGCATTGCTGTGTCTCAGAATTCACAGAGCCTGCCTTCAGAGCTGCTGAGAGGAGGAGTTTCAGAAGGCAGATTCGGTACAGGAATCACTGCTTGCAGCCAAAAATTAGAAACTGAAAGTAAACAGCAGAGGAAAAGCTGCAAAGCAGGCAGGGAATCCAGGAAGTTGATGAAAAAGATGACCAGAAGACAGGCTGAAATCACAACATGAAAAGAGATTTTTCACATAGGCTTTTACTGCATTGACAAAATTAAGTATTTTTTGCATTGCTATTACAATGCTGATGTTTAAAATGAAAAGTGCACATCATGACTATAGAGCTCCTTTAAGCTAAGGAAGATTCCCTTACAAAGTGAACAACCAATTTCCTTAAAGGAAGAATTATACAAAAAAAAAATAAATTAGTTAAACCCACAAGTGTTTTTTTTTACAACTACTATTCCTTTAAACTGGCTTTTTTAAGTTTAAAAATGCAATTTAGAAACTAGATGAAAGGTTTAGCACTGCAAAACACTTTTTGAAAGATTAATAGTGCATTTTATATACAACTATTTTGATCATACCAAAATGAGGGACAAATGAGGAGGAAAGAGGGACAGAGGGACTTTGTTCCAAATTAGGAACAGTTGGGAGGTATGCGATCTGGTAGGATGCTGGCCGCCCATTTGACCCTGGTGGCCATCTTAGAAGTCTATTAAGACCCTGGCTCCTATGTTTGGTTTGCATTCAGCATGTGGGTAGTGAAGGGACAGGTGAAGGAACAGATTACCCATCTGTCAGGGACAGTATTAGCAGTAGGGAAAGGTTTCAGGCATGTATGGAAAGATTAGGGCTCCGTCTCTCTCCTTGGACACCTTCCCATTTAGGCTCGGGCGGACCCGGATGCAGACGCTGTCAGTTTAGCTGAAACCTCACGCTGTTGGGATTCATGAGTGTTCCTGGTTGGTCTCCTTCCAACTGGGCCTGTTGTAAACTGTTTTTCCTTTACTTCAATACAAGTTCCATTTGTTTGCATTTGGACTGAGTATGTGGTATTGCTGCAGCACCATGCTGCACCCACTCATAGGTAGTGTGTTGGAAATCCTAGCGATCAAGACATGAGGACTTCTTTCCAAACTTACCATCACATGTAGGACAGCAAGTTCCTGGTCGAGGAGGTGCAGGGTTTCTACACAGAGATGCACAGTGACGCTTCCTACACTGGATTTTGCCCTCCTGTGTGCACAACAAATATTTAGAACTAATATAGAAGACAGCTGATCTGGTTGCACTCTTTAGATAAAGAAGTAGAATGCCAAGAAATGAATTTAGGAATCTAGTATAGAGAGAGATTTAACCTTAAATGGGTAATAAAAGATAGTGGAAGTAGTATTTTACATCTACCTCATGGAAAACAGAAAACTATACTATACCATACAACGGCAACTATGACATGGCTCTCCTTGGGGTTTCCACTCCTCCTCGTGCCTGCGGGTGGTTGTGCCATCAATGCAACCTTGTGTGTGAAGATATTTGAAAGACGCTTCAAAAACAGTCTTATGGCATAATACAACATATCTAAAGTTTTATTTTGAGTTTACACAAGTGTCATGCACAGTAAAGCCCTTACCTTGGCACCTTTTACAACATTCCCCAGGTATCTCTTCTTGCAGAAGACAAGTCAGCTTTGGGCAGGTCACTCGTACACACTGTATATTACCATTCTGTAGAAAGGAGCCTAGATTAAATATTATTACCCAGGGGACCTCATCATTTATCACACCAAGAGGCTAACAACAATCATAGAAATAAAAGGCATGCTTTTTTGCTCTGTTACAGTGCATGGTGCTTTTATTTTTTCCTTTTAGCTACAGCATTACCAATAAAAAGACGTAAAGCACTTTTCAAAAAAGTAAAAATGGTTCGGATACTAATAATGTTAATAAACACTGTAAAGAAAAACATATAATACTTTTGCTAAGGCCACATGCACATTGGGCATTTAGCCTTAGTGCGTGGGGGTCCGGTGTTTAGTTTTGAGGGAGGGCGTGGAGGACGCAGGTGCTCCTTCAAGTCCCGCTTCCAGCAGGCAGACGAAGAGAGGTCTGAGTTCCAGGCATTCATCCCTGGGGACATACTGCCCTAAACAGAAGTACTGCTAAGTACATTGTCCAGTTCAGGGGCGGACTGACCATTTTGAAACTCGGGCACTGCCCGAGGGCCTGGGGTCAGTAGGGTGCCCCATGAGATGCCCCTGGTACCTTTTTCATAGGCTTTTTGAGTTTGGGCAAGGACACAGGGGCCCCACGATCCCCTATTGCCTGGGGGCCCCATGAGTTGTCAGTCTGCCCCTGGTCCAGCTCAACCAGCCTAGAGTTTGACAGGCTGCTGGCAGTGGGGATGGATGGCGCTCTCTACCTGCAGTTAAACTCCAGAGCCCCTTGCCAGGGCTAAACTCCCGGAATACATGTGACCAAAGACACAGAGGATATGAAGTTATTTTACCTGGCATATGCAGCTATCACATGGGTTCCCATTACCCTGGAAGGTGACTCCATTAGGTATAATATCACCTTGTAAGTCACAAAGCGAACAATCTGGGCAGCATGAACCCCGCCTGACACCATGGGTACAGGTCTGCTGACAACGAACAGCATCAGTACACTTCACTTCACCATCCTAAAAATTTTGAGAAGACATGAAGTGAGGCAAACAAGTTTGTTTTTTTAATGTAAGCAGTGCCAACTCTATAGTGCTTTTCAGAACTCATAAAATTACTCACCTGTATGGTCATCCAAATCTAAAAAAACAGTGGCAGAGATACACATATACGGAACAGGAGTAAATTAGCTAGAATTGTAACCTAAAATACATTTCTGTAGCATGGAAAGAAACCAAAGCATATGGAGGATATTTAAAGCCCAACGAACCTTTATGCAAGCCATACATTGTTCGAATTCCGAACGATTTTTCGTCCAAAAATCGAAAACATTGTTCGCTCGGTAATCCGATGGTGCCATCAATGATTTCGAAAATCGGCCCGACCAAGTCATAAAGTTCACCCCAAATAACAGGCGAAACTTCTGTTCCTCCCAGGTCATGGCTCATGCGCATATTCTTTTTTGGAAAAACGATCGTACAATTTGACCATCATTGAATTGAAAATCGGTCGTTTTTCACAAATTTTCCAACATGCCCGATCACCGAAAAGGGGTGTAACCACGAAAATCGGCCGGTGCCATTGGCCCACTAACAGAGCAAAAATCGGCCGATTATTCTTAGGTCCGATTTTCAGATTAAAAATTGGTCGAATTTCGACCCATGTATGGATGGCCTTAGTTTAAATAAACAAATACTTTACAGCTGCGTGTCCCCACCAGAATGCTGCATAGTGGGACCATTTCTCTCTGTAGAGAATATTTAAAATAAAAAAAACCTTGAATTCATATCAAGCCAAATATATATCTCTGCTATAGAGTACTGTGCAAAATTATACAGCAGCCTAACAGCTGCTTTGTAATACTGAAAAAAAGTGTAAAAAAAAAAAATTCACGGGGAGGAGGACATTTTTCAAACGTTGAGCAGTTGTGCATAGCAACCAATTAGCTTATATCTTTTATTTTGGAAGATTAACTGCACAAGCTGAAAACAGAAGCTGATTAGATGCCAACTGCTCCAGGCTATGCCTGCTCCAATTTTGAAATACTGCAGAAGCACCTACAGTAGTAAATATATTTCACACTGAACTCCAGGAAATTCAGCCCTTTTGTAGAATGTGATGGCTTACTATGAGCTCGTTCCAGCAAAGGTGCATACCACCTCATGGACTTATCTTTTTTATAAACAGTTGACCATTTTTCCCAGAGGAACAACTACCACTATACTCCCAGGGCTCTGACAGGAGTGTTACCATCTTCTCACAAACAGAATCTCTGCCCTCCCCTTCGCTGTTCATTCACAGAAGGCTTTTCAAGAATGAGTTTATATAATACAAAGCACTGTGTTATTGAGCAAGAGGAGGGAAGGGGCAGGCACAGCAGCTACATGTGACTCTACAGATGCTGAAGCACAGACCAGAAGGTCTAGCATCAGAATGCCAGACGTATAGTGACAGTTATGCTCCCAGTGCTCAGTAATGAAAATAGTAAATTAAACAGGTAAGTTCATGAGGTTGCATGCACCTCATTGGACTTAACCCATAGTAATCAAGCACATTTTACAAAGTGGTTGAGTTCAGCTTTAAAGTAAAATTTTTAATTTTTTTTTTTAATCAAGGTCTTATATGCTTGTCAAACACCTGGGTATTTCCTTTATGTCATCATAAAAACTAAAACAAAGTCAGAAGCGTGTATTGGCGTCACACTTACCATTGCATTAAATGATAAGTAACTAAATACAAAACAATTTGAAGTAAAAGAAAAAAAAGTAAAGTGGTGGCAAGAAAATGGGAAAGATCAGTATTGCAAGGATGCCTCGCAGTATGTGGAATCCCCTGTAAAATGTAGGCTCTCATTGTGACTGACATCTCACCCTGCCTCTATAATTGGCTTCACTTTGTACCATTAGTGCGGCTGAGTGTTATAATCCACCTTTATCTGCCAAAGAAGGCAGAGCCAGCCTACCCTAGGAAATAAATCAAACTACAAGGCCTACAAGTTAGGACTCGCCAGTATAAAAGTCCACCTCACAGTATTAAAAACAAATGTGAAGCCCCAGGTTATAAAATCTGTTTGTATACAGTTCAGGATGGATAGAAATGCATTTTACCAATAATAAAAAGGGCAGCATAAAAAGATACACACACACGCAACACCCCCCCCCCCCCCCCCCCCAAACAAAAAACAACATAAAATTGTTTTCTAGCTATGAATAGAACAGTATAAATAGTTTATACTTCATTTCCTGTTTTATTTAGGCTTTGTGTTTGTGCATTGTATCGTTGTGGGAAGACTCTTTAAATGTATCTTTTATTCACAGTACTCACCAGACAGACGCAATGTCGGCAGCCATCTACAGTGGTAACATTCTGACCAGGTAACAAGGGATGCCCATTGAAATCACACACTAGGAGGAATAAAGGGAAGAATATGTACAGTAGGTGATATTGCAGCCATAGTGAGAAAATTATTCATTGGCCACAGATCTCGCTGATGTCTATCCGTGTGCCAACTTGTGTTAAAAGGGAATATTCCCTTCTTCTTTTCCTTCTTCATCAGGGGCAATTGACCTCTGGCTCTGAAGATGCTGCTCATTTCTTTTTGCTTTTTATCTTAAATACAGCACCAAACTACTTTTCTAACCACTTTAGGGAGGCCATTTTTTGATCCCATTTCTCCAAGGCCTTATTTGCACCGGCATACAGATCTATACAGTCCTGTGAAGGACTGTCTTCACCTACAACGGATGTACATCAGGCTCATCCACCTTACCAACTGTTCAGTATCTACCTATCCTCTCTGCCAATCTCTCCACTGGCTTCTGCTTACCCAGCTAATTAAATCCAAAATACTAACAACTTATAAAGACATCCACAACTCAGCCCCCAGCTACAGTGGGGATCGAAAGTTTGGGCACCCCAGCTAAAAATTTGTATTAATGTGCATAAAGAAGCCAAGGAAAGATGGAAAAATCTCCAAAAGGCATCAAATTACAGATTAAACATTCTTATAATATGTCAACAAAAGTTAGATTTTATTTCCATCATTTACACTTTCAAAATAACAGAAAACAAAAAAATGGCGTCTGCAAAAGTTTGGGCACCCTGCAGAATTTATAGCATGCACTGCCCCCTTTGCCAAGCTGAGACCTGCCAGTGTCATGGATTGTTCTCAATCATCGTCTGGGAAGACCAGGTGATGTCAATCTCAAAGGTGTTAAATGCCCAGACTCATCTGACCTTGCCCCAACAATCAGCACCATGGGTTCTTCTAAGCAGTTGTCTAGAAAACTGAAACTGAAAATTGTTGACGCTCACAAAGCTGGAGAAGGCTATAAGAAGATAGCAAAGCGTTTTCAGATGTCAATATCCTCTGTTTGGAATGTAATTAAGAAATGGCAGTCATCAGGAACAGTGGAAGTTAAAGCAAGATCTGGAAGACCAAGAAAAATATCAGACAGAACAGCTCACAGGATTGTGAGAAAAACAATTCAATACCCACGTTTGACTGCACGATCCCTCCAGAAAGATCTGGCAGACACTGGAGTTGTGGTACACTATTCCACTATAAAGAGATACTTGTACAAATATGGTCTTCATGGAAGAGTCATCAGAAGAAAACCTCTTCTACGTCCTCACCACAAAAATCATCGTTTGAACTTTGCAAATGAACATATAGACAAGCCTGATGCATTTTGGAAACAAGTTCTGTGGACCGATGAGGTTAAAATTGAACTTTTTGGCCGGAATGAGCAAAGGTACGTTTGGAGAAGAAGGGGCACAGAATTTAATGAAAAGAACCTCTGTCCAACTGTTAAGCATGGGGTTGGATCAATCATGCTTTGGGGTTGTGTTGCAGCCAGTGGCACAGGGAACATCTCACGAGTAGAAGGCAAAATGGATTCAATAAAATTCCAGCAAATTGTGGATGGTAACTGGATGCCATCTGTGAAAAAGCTGAAGTTAAAGAGAGGATGGCTTCTACAAATGGATAATGATCCTAAACACACCTCAAAATCCACGGGGGATTACATCAAGAGGCATAAACTGAAGGTTTTGCCATGGCCTTCACAATCTCCTGACCTCAACATAATTGAAAATCTATGGATAGACCTTAAAAGAGCAGTCCGTGACAGACAGCCCAGAAATCTCAAAGAACTGGAAGACTTTTGTAAGGAAGAATGGGCAAAGATACCTCAAACAAGAATTGAAAGACTCTTGGCTGGCTACAAAAAGCGTTTACAAGCTGTGATACTTGCCAAAGGGGGCAGTGCAAGATATTAACTCTGCAGGGTGCCCAAACTTTTGCAGACGCCATTTTTTTGTTTTCTGTTATTTTGAAAGTGTAAATGATGGAAATAAAATCTAACTTTTGTTGACATATTATAAGAATGTCTAATCTGTAATTTGATGCCTTTTGGAGATTTTTCCATCTTTCCTTGGCTTCTTAATGCACATTAATACAAATTTTTAGCTGGGGTGCCCAAACTTTCGATCCCCACTGTACATCACTAACCTAGTCTCAAAATACCGACCAATTCGTTCTCTTTGATCATCCCAAGACCTCCTGCTCTCTAGCTCCCTTGTCTCCCCCTCCCATGCTCATCTCCAGGACTTCTCCAGACCCGCTCCCATCCTCTGGAACTCCTTAACCCCAATGTTTCTCTTAAATCGTAAGCTCTAAGGAGCAGGGCCCTCTGATTCCTCATGTATTAATTTGTATTGTAATTGCACTGTCTACCCTTATGTTGTAAAGCACTGCATAAATTGTCGGTGCTATATAAATCCTGTATAATAATAATAATACATGCAGCCATGTGCAGGCAGAATATTCAAATCAATGACAATCTGCGTTCTGATCCATGCATTGGCCCCACATGGATATACACTCTGGGATGCACTTGGAGATCCATGCAGGTCCATG